TATCAAATGTGAGTTTCTTGTAGTGGGTTGTCTTATTCTCATCTGAAAGAAATTAAGAGTTAGGAATGCTAACTGTAATGCCTAAATAAAAAGAAACACCTAGCTAATACTACTTGATATCTGAACTAAGAAACCCAAATCACATTTCCAGAATAAATTCAATTTGATTTTGGTATATATTTCTTTAAAAAAAATCTGTGTTCTGTTTGCTAATATTTTAACAATTTTTTTACATAATACTAAGAAAATATAATGTTCTTATCAGGTTTTCCTATCAAGTTTATGCTGAACTTGTAATGACTTTAGATAATTTCTTCCTTTCTTTTAACCCTAAGTTTGTTTACATAGATATTATATTTTTCTGAAACATTGGATAGAATTTGTTGGTAAAGCCTTCTAGCCCCTGATTTTCTTTGAGAAAGGTATATATGTATTTATATATTTTCAATTCTTTCATGATTATATATTTGGGTAGAAATTTTGTTTTTTCTTGTATTGGTTTTGATCAATTCTGTTTCTCAGTTATCTAAATTTTAGTATATATTGGCCTAACATTCTGTGTCATAGAAATATTTTTGTTTGCCTTTTCTCTTGCTCTCTCTCTCTCTCTCTTTCTTTTCCCCCTCCCTTCCAACCCCCCACTTTTAAGATAGAATCTCTTTTGCCCAGATTAGTCTGGACCTCAATCCTTCCATTTACTTTATGCCATGGCTGGGATAACAGGTACACACCACTGCATCCAGCTGAAGTTGATATTGGGTCTCTCAGACTTTTTGACCCCATTGGGTTCAAATCTCATCTCAATCTTCCTAATCTCTGCCTCCTGCATTTAAGTTTTTAAAGGTATGGCTTTAGCTGTGGTCTTTAAGTTCAGTATTTAATTCCTACTCATTATTGAACTCAAAATATTTTCTGCATCCCATTTATGAGTTGTTCTTTGAAGTATCTTTCAAACATTTGAAGATTGTTTTGCTTACATTTTTTATTTCTAGTTTCTTGCATTGTGATCAAAGAATATACTCTGTATGATTTCTATTAAAATGTATTATAGACTTGGTTTATGGCATAGTCTTAGTCATAGTCAGACTTTTTGTTGCTATGACAAATACTTGTGAGAAACAATTTAAAAGAGGAGTTATTCTGTCATATGGTTATAAGGTTTCAATTCATATTGGTTTGATTTATTGTTTTTAGGCCATGACAAACAACCAACATGGAGAAAGGGCATGAGCTGTTTTTATCATGGCAGCCAGGAAGCCAAGAGGAACAACAGGAGGGGGACAGGCCAAGATAGACCCTTCAAAAGCACAGTCTCATTTCCCCTACAAGACTCTGCCTTCCACAGTTGTACTGCCTTCTCAGTAGTTTATTCAAATTTGGAATCTATCATTTGGTTAAAATCCATCATTGATTAGATCAGAGCTTTCATAATACAGTTATCCTGGAAACCCTGGTACAGTACAGATGAGCTTTACTAATATATACTTCCCTTTGTCTAATCAAGTTGATTAACTGGATTAACCATCACCTAGCATATGTCAACTGTGGTAACTAGTTACAGTATACTTGAAATGAAGTTGCTTTGCAATTGTATGCGGCCTTCTATGTTCATTAAGACAAATTTGCTAATCATATATTTAAATCTGTATCTTTACTCATAATTGTTCTTTTTGATTTGTTTTAAAATCTGTTGTGCTTCTGGATTTCTTTGTCTTTGTTTTTCTTTTTCTTTTTTGCTTTGTTTAGTAAACTACTTACCAATTTAGATTTTTGTAGCTTCCAATTTAAGTTATCTTTATCTTTGTTATCTTTATCTGTGTATATCTCTATCTGTATCTGTATAACTTATCTTTATCTCTATATCCATATTTTTGTGTCTATAGTGGGACTTGAGCCTCATGCTCTCAATTGGGTTTTTCACTAAAAAATGGAACTGTTCCTCTAGACTCACAATTTTACTCCCCTGTTTTTTTGGGTCATTTATAGATAAGAGTATAACAAACTTATCTAGGTTAGTTTTGAACCTGAATCTTCTGATCTTAGCATTCTGAGTAGCTTGGATTAAAGGTGAGAGGCATCAGTTCTTTTAACAAGAGTATTCTTTAATTAGAGTATTTAGTCTATTTATATATGATATACTTTCTAGTATATTTGGAATTATTTTTACTCATTGATTTTTACTTGTTTCATGTAATTTATTTTCTTCCTCTGCCTTCTTTTGGAAAGATTATTTTATATTGTTTATCCCCCTCTTATTAGGAATGTAGGTACACATTCCTTTATTTTTCTCCTAGTGATTACCTTTGAGTTCACAGCAGGTATCTTTGAGTTCTGTTTATTTGTTTGACTGTTCGTTTGTGGGAATTAAACTCAGCACCTTGAGAGGTAAATGCTATACCACTTGAATTATACTCCCAATCCTTTTGTCTTTAGTTATGTATTAGATAGGGTCTTTTACTGCTATCTTCCTATTTCTCCCTCTTAAGTATCTGGGATTACAGGTGCATACTGCCTCTCCTGGTTTGTTTTTGAGATACAGTCTTAATAACTTTTTGCCCAAGATGGTCTCCAATAACAGTCTTCCTACATCTACCTGTCAAATAGCTGAGATTATAAGCATGTACCACTATGACAAGCCTTACAAAACAGACATTTTTTACTTATCAAAAATCTGTTTAAATTGTGTTTATCTTTCATTCTCGGCAACTTAATGATGTCAGAGTATTGTAATTGTATTTGTGTGCCTTCTAATTCAGTTGCAGTTGTTGGAGCTGCTTGTAGATTTATCGTAATTTTTACTTCTTGAGCAAAGACTTGGGGTTCTTAGTATATATTTAATAGATGATTTTTAAAAAACCAACTTTGAAAATCATCAGCTTTTATTTCTAGAAGTATCCATTATCATTTTACTTCTGTTACTCAAATTTCAGATTATGCGTGTCTTCATGTTAAAGATACATTTTGTTGTATTGAACAATTCTTATAAGTTTTAATATTTCTGGAATTTTTTTAAAGTAATGATGAGATCTTTCCCCTTATTTGGATAACATATATGCATTTTCCCCTATGTCTTCAAAACAGCCTGCTGGTCAATATTATTTTTATCATGGAGGCTCACCACCTAGTTTGAGTTTACATGGCTGCTAAGCAACCTAAGCTAACATTTGAAACAACTTGTTTTAATGTTTCTTGGTATTCATTATATGAGATTATGTGTCCTTTTTTATTAGTATTTTTTTGTCGTTTTCATGTGATGATTTTTTGCAGGGGACATAACTACTATACACAATGTATATATTAAGTAATTATACGAGGCTGTCTTAATATTCTACCATTCCATTTTATTTATCTCATACATGTAAGTACATATACTTATGAGTCAAGTATTGCCCCTTTTGAGAAGTTTATTTTCTACCAGGTAATAAGAATGCATACACTTTATTCTAATACAGGATAGAAACTTAGTAAAATAATATCCCAATTGATATAGTTAAGCACAAATCAAGTAATCAGAAGTTATTAATCATGGAAAATTGGCAATGTGAAAATTTTATTTTCTTATTGCTTCAAAGGTAACATTATTATACATTTGTTTGTTAATAACAATAGAATCAGTGATCCTCTCTTAAAAATATCCTTTAATTTCACTCTGTGAATTCCTAAAGACCTGTATAATTTATCATGCCCCAGTTATTTTTTTTCTACCATCCACTGTGTTTACTTGTAGAGACACAGTCTAGTTACCACAGATGAGGGAAACCATGCTACCTATGTTTCTTTTGATCTTGCTTACTTTGCTTAGTATAATTTTTTCCCATATCTTTCCATTTCCTTATAAATGGCACAGTATCATTCTTTATAATGGATGAGTAGAATTCCATTGCGTAGATATACCACACTTAACATGATCCATTCATCCACTAAAGGGTATCTGGGTAGATTCCTTATCTTGGCTGTGGTTAACAATATTGCAGTGCTGGTAGCTTTAGTGTGGCCTTGTTTGTATTCTATTGGATAAATGCAATAGCTAAGTACATGTGATCATATAAAATAATATTTACCTAAATGAACTCCAGGAAATGGAAACAAGTGGTTTTTTTTTTCCTTTGTTACTGTTTTTGTTTTCCTTTTGTCTTGTTTGTTCACCTGTTTTTGGAAGGGTCAGGAAGGGCACAGAAATGGTGGGACAAAGAGTGAACAAATGGAGCAATGACACTAGACATTATATAGAAAATGAACCTTATGGATACGGGAGGGAAAGATGGGGAGAACAAGGGAAGGGGTGACAACATTGTTCATAAAGAAATGTACTCTTGGGGGCTGGGAAGGTGACTCAGTGGTAGAGCGCTTGCCTTGCATGCCTGAGGCCCTGGGTTCGATTCCTCAGCACCACATAAGCAAAAAGAAAAAAGCCAGAAGTGGCGCTGTGGCTCAAGTGGTAGAGCACTAGCCTTGAGCTGAAGAGCTGAGGGACAGCGCCCAGGCCCGAGTTCAGGCCCCATGACCGGACCAAAAAAAAAAGAAATGTACTCTTGGGAGCTGGGAAGGTGGCTCAGTGGTAGAGTGCTTGCCTTACATGCATGAGGCCCTGGGTTCGATTCCTCAGCACCCCATAAGCAAAAAGAAAAAAGCCAGAAGTGGCGCTGTGGCTCAAGTGGTAGATCGCTAGCCTTGAGCTGAAGAGCTGAGGGACAGTGCCCAGGCCCAGAGTTCAGGCTCCACGACTGGACCCCCCCCCCAAAAAAAAAAAAGAAATGTACTCTTTACCTGACTTTTATAGCTATAACCCCTCTGTATATCACCTTTACGATAACAATAAATAAAATTTTAAAATATTTAAAAAATAAAGTCAATACTGATGTTTTATGTTAAATTTTTATCCCTAGCAAACATCTTTGTACATACTCTGCAATTGATTGGACAATGATGTAAGCAGCAAAATTTTGTATATCATGATAAATTATGCGTAGTGACTGAAAAGGTCTTTTTTTCCCCAGGTTATCTCATTTCTGGCAGCAGTTTTGCATAAGAAAGGAACTCGTGAAGATATTGTCAATAATATGCCAGAGTTTTTACTGAGAAGTATGAAAAAGGACCCTTCTTGTGTAGCAAAAAAGGTAAACTATCTAGAAATACCTCATAAAGTTGGTACTCTGATAGCACAGAGAAGTGTTTTAATCCACATAACAGTATAAATTTAAAACATAAAAATTTAATACATCAATACTTCTGATATTGGTTTAATTTGCTAAAGGTTATCTATTTCATCTACTAGTTTTAGTCTTTCAGAATAGTGAAATATAATTTCAACTTGAAATCATTTAAGAATTTCAGTCTTTCAATGGTGTAACTATAGCCTGAGTATTACATACAGTTGGATTCTTATATTCTTGTATTTTATGTAATGTTATTTTTAGCCCTGGATTTTGTTGGGTTTTTTTTGGTTCTGAATGTCACTACTGAATGTGTCTCTTATGTCTGCTGAGAGACAGAAAAAAGAGGAAAAAAGTAAATTCTAAAATTTAAATTTGAGGATATTCAAAGTATATTAGTAAGAACAAAAATCAGAATGAGCAAAGGAAGGGGTGATATTGTCCAAAAAGAAATGTAATCATTACCTGACTTCTGAAATAGTAACCCCTCTGAACATCACATTTATGATAGTAATAAAATAGAAATAAATAAAAATAAAAGAACAAAAATCAGAGGTGATGGGGAAAGGAATACCTTCTAAACACTGTTCTGTGAGAAGGAGTGCAAGAGGTTTTTTCTTTTTGTTGTTTTTAATGTACTATGTGATTTTTTTTTGTTTCTTTTGTATGCTCTTCCCCCTATGATATAATCCCTGTTGTCACTGTGTTTGATTTTGGTACCCTGGTATGTATATACATTTATTTGAATTAAGGAAAGGAAGGGGAACAACAGAATGGTGAGACAAAGGCCAAGGGGGGGACCAATGCAACAGTGATATACACAAGACAATATGTTGGAAATGATCTATACAACTTGGGGGACTTAGGGGATGGGAAAGTAGGAGAAAATGAGAAAAGGGGTAACAAATTTGACAAGAAATGTACTTGTTACCTTAGTTATGAAACTGTAACCCCTATGTACATCACCTTGACAATGATAAATAAATAAATGTCAGAGATGAAAAAAGAAAGCCCCCTATTGATCGTGTGTTAAAGATATGCTAATAATCACCTCAGTTGTCACTGGTACTGCTTCTTCCTCCTCCTTTCTTTTTCTATGTCTCAGTGTGTATATGTGCATGTATAGACACATGTATATATGTAAATTCCTTGCCGTAATATACACTGCTAATCTGTCTTATTCAGCTGACTAATTCATTTATTTTTAGTGTTTCTCATATTTTAGTAAATTCCAGTAAAGCCATTGGAGTACTGAGCATCCTACTTTGACTGCACTCCATGCTTTCATAACTAGTCTTTTCACTCCTTTTTAAATTATTAATGACTACTAAATTCTAGATAACTATACTATTGGAGTACAGAGTTATAGGATAACTTATTAGCCTTTGCTGTTGATTTCTAGGTTTCTTGCATCAGATAACATAGCCTTGGTGTTTTCTTTGTGCTTACTTTGACGCTGAAGTATTTTTAATGTTTGATGCATATTGTGTTGTCTACAACTGTGTAGTATTCCCTGCCACATAAATGTGGATGGAAGCAACATAAATCATTACTCACTATGCAGTAGGAGTACTACATAATTGTAGTTGGAACAACATTAGTCACCTTTCTGTCACCTGAAAAAATATACAAACAACTTATGAGGAGGAAAGCTTTGTTTTGGATCACAGTTTTGGGTGTTTCAGTTTATGGTTACTTGGCTTGTTCCTTTAGGGCCTGTGACAGGCAGCACATCATATTGAGAATGGCTTCTTGGCAGAGGAAACTTCTTACTTCACAAGGACTAGAAAGTAAGAAGTAGAGACAGAAAGCTGTCAGGGTCCCAATATTCCCTCCAAGGACATACCAACAGTCAACTAACCTCATCCTTCTAGGCCTTATCTCTTAAAGGGTACATCCCTTCCCTTGGTGATCAAGCCTTTAACTCAGGGTGTTTTGAGGGCCAAACTATAGCTTAGGCAATAAGGCAGAAGTCCTGTTTACATAAGTTCAAGAGAGATTAGGAGGAGAGTTGAGATAATCAATATGGATAATTCTTGAGGGATTAGATTAACAGTCATAGGTAGAGAGATACAGGGTTGAGGGAAGAGGGTTTTTGTTGTTACTGTTTTAGTTTTTTTAGTCAGAAGAAATCGAATGTTTTGCTATGGATTTATGTGGTCCATTTTAAAAGAAAAACTACTCATGGCACAAGTAGCAACGAAAAGAGAATTAGCTACTGGCCGAAAAGCTATACAGAGGCTTGCAAAGAGAATGTCTGGCTGGTTTCTTAGACGTACTAAGACTCTTATCAAGGATCAGTTGCCTAAGAAGAAGACCAGGGTAAAGGTTACATTTATGTGTATTAATTTCATCTCATTTTTTGCCATATGTTTGTCAGAATTAAAGATAGAACTATTAATATTGTTTCAGTTTGGGGTTTTCATTTCTTAAAATAATCATTTTTTTTCTTCTTTTAGATGTTCTTAATAGTTGCTCCTCTTTCTGTCCTCTATAATTGGAAAGATGAGTTGGATACCTGGGGATATTTCAGAGTCACTGTGTTACATGGTAACAAAAAAGACAATGAACTGATTCGTGTAAAGCAGCGGAAATGTGAAGTTGCTCTAACAACTTATGAAACGCTACGATTATGTCTGGATGAACTTAACGGGTAATAAGACATGGCGTTAATGTTCTACTTACATCAATTCTATTTGTCCCAGATAATATTATTTTAAAACTGTGAAGTATCTTTAATTTCATTTGAGATTTTATAAGTTTTCCTGTACTTTCTGGTTCATCATTTTTTTGTGTGTGTATGTATGTATGTGTGTGCACACGTGCATGCGTGTGCTCGCACACACGTGCACGGCTTTCCCTCCACCCCCATATATGTGAGCGTTTAAACTCAGGGCTTTACACTCTCCCTTGGCTCTCTTGCCCACAGTTGGTGCTCTACCTCTTGTGCCATGCCTTTTGTCCAACATTTTTCTGGTTAATTGCTGATAGAGTCTCATAGACTTTTCTGCCTGAGATGACTTTAAACCTTGGTCCTTCAGCTCTTGGCTTTATGAGTTAGAATTATTTGCCTGAGTCTCTGGTACCTGGTTTCTTACTGTATTTCATAAACTTAATATAGATACCTTTCTGAAAATACTTATTCTAAATCTCATGTGTAGTCGTTTGTATATGGTGTCTCTGAACTAGGAGAGTGATTTGTCATGAATGATTTTAATTATGGCAGTCTGATGTCAGTATAGAGCAGCAAAACACACACACATACACACACACAGACATGATGAAATTAACAGTGGTTTAAAGTGTTACAGGGATATGGACAGGAGATAACACTGAAGTAAGTGGAGAACATCTCACTAACAGTAGCCACTTGGAGGATTTTGGCTTATATTCTTAGAACAGTACTGTGCCTCTGAAGTGTTTCCAGCACACTATACAGATGATAAAAATGATCAGATCTTCCGATCTTCGCTTCCTACAGAGCTAGCATCTAGGTTCATGCCACTGTACCCAGTGGCCATAGTTTACTGGTCTTCTAGTTTTAAAATATATACTTGAGCCAGGCACTGGTAGTGCATAGCTACTCAGGAGGCTGAGATGTGAGAGTTTCAGTTTGAAGCTAGCCCCTGGCAGGAAGTTTGAGACTTATTTCCAGTTAATCACCAAAAGCCAGAAGTAAAGCGGTGGCTCTAGAGGTAGAGCCCTATCCTTGAAATCAGGCACTGTGCCCAGGGCCTGAGTTCAAAACCTCAGGACCTGCACTAAAAAAAACAAACAAAAAAATGGGTACTTGAGTTTAACTGTTATCCCAAACAAGATGTAAAATACTTTTATCTCAGACTTTTCCTCTTGCTTCTTCTCTTTTTTGTCGGTCATGGGGCTTGAACTCTGGGTTTGGGCGCTGTCCCTGCGCTCTTCAGCTCAAGGCGAGTGCTCTACTGCTTAAGCCACAGCACTACTTCCAATTTTCTAGTGGTTAATTGGAGATAAGAGTCTCACTGACTTTTCTGCCCAGGCTGGCTTTAAACCGTGATCCTCAGATCTCAGCCTCCTTGGTAGCTAGGATTACAGGCATGAGCCACCGGCGCCTGTCTCCTCTTACTTTTTTATGAGCAGCCATATTTCAACTCTCACCATAGACAATCACTGATTTATCTTAATAGAAATCAAGAGCATAATCTAAGCTGTTGTGCTATTTCACTACTGAGAGTATATGCAAGTCCTTTTGTTCCATAACTTCACTAGTAAGCATATGGTAGCATGTCATTGAGATATAGTTTGTAGGTTGTTTTTTTTTTTTACCTAAAAAATATTTGTTTTACATCTGAGAAAATGTTTGTTTTACAGTTGTTGGGTATTAGGGTTTTATGAATATCAGTAAGACCAGATTAAATAAGGTATTGTCCAAGTGTTCTTGTGTCTTTACTGATTTTTCTCTTTGGTTGCTTTCCCCCTTGTTTTCTTGCTCTGCAGTTTGGAATGGTCAGCTGTCATTGTGGATGAAGTGCATAGAATCAAGAATCCAAAGGCGAGAGTAACAGAAGTTATGAAAGCTCTACGTTGTAATGTCCGTATTGGCCTCACTGGGACCATCCTTCAGAACAGCATGAAGGAACTGTGGTGTGTTATGGACTGGTGAGCAGAAATTTATTTTAGTATTTAATACATCTTTAGCTTTCTACATCTTGTTCCTGGGGAGGAAAAAAAAAATCAGTGGAGAAGTATTTGTTCTCAAACAAGTTATACAGAGTCCCATGAAAAGCTGTCTTTATGTAATGCTTTTGGTCCTGAAAACAGAACCTTACTATTTCCATCATCATTTTCAATTATAAAGCTGCCAAAACAGTCTTAAAGAAATTCTGTTTTTGCTGTTATTAATAAGCAAGTGAAGGGAGATATTTCTTAAAAACAAAAGTGTTTTTCCGTTTTACTTAATAAGATTATAACATTTTGCTTATTATCTTTATAAAGGGCTGTGCCAGGACTTCTAGGTACGAGGATGTACTTCAAAAAGCAATTTTCTGACCCAGTAGAACATGGTCAGAGACACACAGCAACGAAAAGAGAATTAGCTACTGGCCGAAAAGCTATGCAGAGGCTTGCAAAGAGGATGTCTGGCTGGTTTCTTAGACGTACTAAGACTCTTATCAAGGATCAGTTGCCTAAGAAGGAAGACAGGGTAAGGGTTACATTTATGTGTATTAATTTCATCTTATTTTTTGCCAAAAACTTGCCCTTTTTAAGAGGAAGTCTATCTCCTGTGGTATTTTATGAATGTAATTTGGGGATCTTTATTCTTCCTTGGGAGGGGAGAAATGTCACATGGCCAATTTCAGGAGACATTAATTGAACTTGTAAGTTTTCCTTGTTAATCTGATGGCTACCAGGTTTATTGCTGGTGTATATGTGGGTCAGCTTTCCATTGTAATGATAAATACTACAGATAAGTCAACTTAAAAGGAAGAAGGATTTATTTTGTCTCATAGTTACAGTCCACACTCATTCACCCCTATTGCTTTGGACAATGGTAGAACATAGTGTCAGAGTGCATAGTGAATGGAAACGCTTACCTCATAGTGCTGGGAAGAAAAAAATCAGACACAATAATACTGCAAGATATTCCCTTCAAGGGCATGCACCTAGTGACCTCACATCCTTCCACTAAGCCCCAGATTCTAAAGATTCGTCTCCCAACAATGCCATACACTAGTGACTAAGCCTTTAGTATATAGCCTTGAGTGGCATTTAATACCTACACCATGACAATGTACATTAAAACTAATTTCTTATCACTATTTTTAATATAATTCTTCCTTAAGGAAGCAGAATCTTCTCTATCTAAACAGTTTGACATTCACATACTGTAGTTCCTATACTACCTACTATCTACCATCTAGTATGTTCTTTGTTACCTTCATTCTAGTTATATGCCCAAAGTGGTTAAAGAAGTTTTAAAGATTTTTTATATAAATTGCAGTTGTATGATTAACCTAATATTTTTGAATTTGTAGAAAATTTACATTATTATTTTAAGAAAGTTAAGAAAGTCTGAATTGACTTTTAAGATTTTTTTCAAAATTTCAATGATCTTTTATAGTTTTTCAATCTTATACCTGAGAAATAAAATAAAGATTCCTAGTCAGTGGTTTTAGAGGTAAGGGGAATCATACCAAATACCATTAGATTTATATTTCTTATTGTTGTGATAAAACCCCTGAGAGAACTACTTGAAGGAAGGATTTATTTGGGATCATTATCACTTGGCTCCATGTTTCTGAGGCAGAACATCATGACTGAGAAAGCCTGTGGCAGAGAAACTTGTTCACCTCCTGGTAGAAAGGAAGCAGAAAGGCCTAGAGACAGGATACCTCAATGACTTGCCCCCAGTGACCAACTTCCTCCAGTGTGGCTTACCTGGTGCTTTCCAAAACCACCACTTGGGAACCTAGGTTTTAAGGCATGAGCCTATGGCATATATTTCATATTTAAGCCATAACAGATACCCTCTTATCATAGGATATTCTATTACTTTGAAAAGGTAGATTTGAAAGTATGATACTAATATGCAACTGGGGTAATTGATACATCACTGTTGATATTTAAAGCGAAGATTGTATTGAAATCCCTTATGAACTCCTCCACTTTTTACAAATGTTTTATGCAACTCTTGTGTGTATATATAGACATATGTGTATGTATATGTTTATGTATTATTTATTCAGTTGGAACAACCAAAGTATAAATATATGAAGAGATACTTAGGCTTAAAGATTTAAAACATGAACTGAAATGAAATACTATAGGCTTGAATAATGGCTCTCCCACTTAAGTTTTATGACTTGAAGCAGTTTGCAAAAATTTGCTCAATTAGCAAAAATTTTAAAAAATTTATTAAATAGAAATAATAAGCTTGTCTCACATGGTTGCTCTGAAATGCATAAATAAGAAAAGTTTAAGAAATGTTATTATCTAACTCGTTCCATTTCCTAACAAATTGGGATGGTGTCATTCTTTCTGATGGAAGTATAGAATTTATATATATTTATATATATATATATATATATATCACATTTTCTTTTTTTTCCAAATTTTTTATTTTGATTAAGTGGTTACATAACTTCCCAAATTTCACAGTATTGTAGGATAGTGATGCTTAGTTAAAGTCACAAACACATTCTAACTTTAATGGAGCAAGTTGTCTATCATGGTCTATAACATTTATGAGTACATTTCTTTTGTTTTGCATAGCGTCAGCTGTTCCCTGTTTCCCACTCGTTCCCTCCCTCCCATCGCTGCCATTGAGTTGCTTAGTTCATTTTGGTCAATGTCCAGTGTAGCTGATGGGTCCTGCTGTTGTATGTTTTTCCCTGATTCCCTCTAGTTCTGTGTCCTCCTCCTGGTTTCCCTCCAGTGTGCACATATATACCATATTTGTGATCAGCAGCATGGGGTTATTTAGTAGTGATTTGACCAGATGAGTGGAAGTCCTTTGTTTCTTAAGTCTTGTTAATTTTGTCATATCACCTTACATTTTGGATTTAGCCTCAACTTATCAGAGAGACCATGTGCTGTTTGTCTTTGCTCTTGGCTTACCTCGCTCAATATTATTTCTTCTAGCTCCATCCATTTCCCTGCAATAAACATAGTTGTGTTGGTAGCTTTAGTACTACATTAAAAACAACAACAAAGAAAAACCTCTTGTGTCCTTATCTTGAGGTTCATTTTGCTTAGCTTCATCTTATATGGTTATATGTACATAGCTTTGAGCTTTTCTGCTCATCTGATAAGATTATCCTAGACATATACTAGTTATTGCAAATAGGGGGAACATCTGTTTTTAATGTCTCAAGTTTAGTCAAGAGGGCATAACACATTATAGAAAAAGGAATGTTATTTATAAACAACTCAGTCTCCATGTTGTAATAATTGATTTCTACCTTCTATATGTTCCTTGTTTTTATATATGTAATTTCATTCAAGATGGGTATCAATGTGCTTAATATTTGATAGATTTTTTAAAAATGTAACATTTTGGAGACATTCCTATATCAACTAAATACATATGTATTATTTACAATATTATTCTCCTGGTAATATATCTATAAGTTTTTGCAAGTAGGTAACTTTTCTGTTTTGTTCCATTCCTAAGTGTCCTATTATGGTGGATGTTTTTAGTCCAGGACTCTAGGGATACAGCTAGGAGAATTTTAGTAATTTCTAGTGCTATTGGAAATAACGTCAAATGATCTTCTTTATAACTTAGTGCATTGTTTTATCATATTTTCTTCTTGACTTCAAATTGGGCATGAAAGAACAACTTGTATTCCTTTTATGTGTATTTACTTAATTCTTTATTAATCTTAGGACTTTGTAGCAAGATATTATATACAAATAACGTTTTCATTAATATGAAATTTTAAATGTTTTTCTGAGTTTTCCAAATACTTTCAGGAAGTATTTATTATTCATACAGTGGTTCCTAGATTCTTTTTTTTTAAATCTTTTCCTTTGGTCTAAATTTTAAAAAATTTATTTACATAGTGGACCGATAGAGAACCTTTGAGAAAACCCAGAATATACTGAGAAAATATATAGGTAATTCATATAACATATTATATTATATTTCCTTTTAACCAGAAGCAAATCTCTGTGGTTAAAAATGCTCTTACAATGTTTATTGTGTAGTGTAAGGTGAGGAGCAGAGAAGAGAATTGTGAGAAGTTGTCATAATGATGCACCAGAGGGAAAATTAGCTTGTGAGCAATTTTCAGTATTACAATCTATTAAATCCTTTGTACATTATGATTGTTCATCTTATTGATGCAAAAAATTACTAATATTTGTCTTATATTTTTTCTTGTCAGATGGTTTATTGTTCTTTAACAGATTTCCAGAAAGCTGTCTATCAGACAGTGTTAGAAACAGAAGATGTGACTTTGATACTTCAGTCCTCTCAGCCCTGTACCTGCAACAGTGGTCGAAAAAGACGATACTGTTGCTACAAGGCAAGTGTAGTGTCTATGCCCTTACTGCTTTGCTTTTCCTTATACTGCAATCTATCACCAACTAGCACATAATAAATGAATTTTTTTTCTCAGACACTTTGTTAATTCTAGAAGCTAACTAAAGGTTTTAAGTAGATTTTGTTGTTAATGGTGGTGGTCATGAGGCTTACACTCGGCCTGGGAGCTGACCGTGAAGTTTTTTTGCTCAAGGCTAACACTCTACCACTTTGAGCCATAGTGCCACTTCTGGTTTTCTAGTGATCAATTGAAGATAAGAGTTTTATGGACTTCCTGCCCTGGCTAGTTTTGAACTGTGATCCTCATATCTCAGCCTCCTGAGAAGTTAACAAAGCAGGCGTGACTCCAATGCTTAATGTTTTAAAAAATGTTTTACAATATTAGATAGTGCCACATACAAACTATAATATTCAGATGTATTTTCAAGAAGTTATTTTATAAATAAATCTGCAATTTAATATCTTCTCTTCCAGTAATACCTTCTTCTAATTAGGAAATTAATCATTACTTTTTACGAGCAAAATAACTTACTAGTTGATTTCAGGCTTAAGTATTAGTTCTGATGTCAAATACACTGTCAATTTAATAGAAACTATGCATTAGTAGAATGAGAAAAATTCAACCAGTCACTGTTGATTCACACCTGTAATCCAAGCTACTCAAGTGGTTGAGATCTAAGGATCACAGTCCCATGCCAGCTCAGTCAGACAAATTGGAGAGACTCCTATCTCCAGTTAACCATCAAAAAGGTAGAAGTAGCAGTATGGCTGAAGTGATAAAGTACCAGTCTTGAGCAGAAAAGTTAAGAGAGAATCTGAGTTCAAGCCCTAGCACTAGTGCACACACATGCACACACACACACACAAGTAAATTCATTTGTACTTTTCTACTTTTTGTCAGTGGTTATTGCCTTTTTCTTTCCACTTGTTTCTTTCTCATCACAGACCCGTATCTGTATACACACAGCAATCCTGGTAAGCATTTATTTAGTTGGACTATATTCTGCTTCCTTTGTTTTCCTAGGAGGTTCTACCCTCTCCCCCCAGCACATGAACCAGTCTTCCAACTCTTGTTTAGCTGTTTTTTGTTTTTATTAATCTCTTCTCATTTTTGTGACAGCTCAGTGTGCTAGAATACCTGGAAACATGTTTATGGGTAAAGGATCTATATAGTATTTCGCTGCATCAGCTTTTTTACCAGAACTCCACAGCAGCAATTCTGTCACTGGCTATGATGAAGATGAATAAGTTCCACTTTTAATGTCGTTGTATTATGATTCTCCAGAAATGGTTGCACATTAGTGGTTCTTGGATAGTTCAAATTAATTGTTGGTCATCATTGTTTTAGAATTCATTGTGATAATAAATATTATTATATGCTGTATGTATTATAATATAAGCTGTTGTATAGCCTTGGTAGTCCCTCTCCTGATTTTATGTCATGCATTGTTCTGGTTACAGACCAATTCTCGTGGTGAAACAGTGAAAACCTTGTATCTCAGTTACCTTACAGTTCTCCAGAAGGTAGCCAACCATGTTGCATTGCTGCAAGCTGCTGGTACCTCCAAGTATCAGGTTTGTGTTGGCCTTTTACACTTCCTTGTGATGTTACAGATATTTAATATTGATATTGATATTTGGAAAACAGTGTCTTACCTAGTATCCCTAAGTTCTTTTATATGAAATTTAAGGGGAAACTGATTTGTTCGTTTTAAAATAGGGGGCTTTTGGATGTACCTCACTGGAACAAACCTACCTAGCATATGCTAAGCATAGCCCTAGCACCAAAGTAAAATAAAACTGTTCTTTAAAAAGTAAAATTTAGGTATTAAGAATATGGCCCTCTTTTGTGGTATGTAAATTCTTTTTTGAAAATTAATTTACCTTATTATAGAGGTAATATACAGAGAGATTACAATTACATGAAAGTAATGAATACATTTCCTTTTGTACAATGTCTTCTGTTCCCTCACTCTCTCCCAGTCCCTCCTTCCCATCTCTACCCACAAGTTGCATAGTTCACTTTTACCAGTGCCCAGTGAGTTCCACTGTTGCATTTTTCGCCCTTTTTCCTTTGAATTCTGTACCCTCCTCCCAGCCTTTCCAAAGATACATACATGAATATATTATTCTAAGGAAAAAGACAGACTGATCAAAAAATAAAGACTATAAACTAAAAAAATTAAAAGTAAATAAAAAAAGAAAAGAGAGGTCAGTCTCATTTTCATATCTTGGAGTTCATTTTGCTATGTATGATGAGGCACTTAGACACTGCCTTTTTTGTGTTTTTATCCTAAGAGTATCCTCTTTTGGTCTCACTATGTGTATCTAGAATCCTGTATCCCAGTGTATTTTAGAATTACTTTCCACATATCAGAGAGAACATGCAAATAGGGCATTTCATAAAGTGAAAAAAGTTAAGCTTAAAGCAATAACTTTTTTTGCTTCTAATAATGCTTATGTGTTTGTTTTCCTAGTATCCTTTGTTGTAATTATGAAGATATTGGAAAATCAGACCTATTCCACTACTAACATAACAAATTATATTTATTCTACTAGGTAAACTAGTCTCTTTGGTAATTTTTAGGACTATTTCCCAAACTTTCAGAAATCAGTAATTTCCAAGTTTAGGGTTAAAAATAATAATTTATTTTGGTGATTTCAGTTGTTTCTTTTTCTAGAGCATAGCATAACTAAAAATACCTTGACTTTTATGCAATGATATTTTCCTTTTGTATTACAGTTAATGCTACTGAAATGCAATTTTGAAATTCAATAAGAATTTAATTCTGTTCTTTGATTAGTGTTATTTACTCTTGATTAATGTTATTTACTCTTTGGAGAGTGTTTGCCTCCTTGTTTTAGAACTCTTAAAAACAAAGTAATGATAAAATTAGTAGCTGTATCATTAATAATTCATCAGAGTTATGTGTTTTTAAAATACCATTTTAAGATTTTCTGAATTATTTATTCAACTTAAGGCAAAATCTTCAAAGTAAATAAATATTCGTTGTGAGTAGAATTTTATTTTGTAAATGACTTCAATTTATTGAAGTTTAAATGTGTTAATCTCTTCTTTTACCTTTTCTTCAAGGAAACACTTATCGAAAGGATATGTGATCAGGTATTTTCCAAGTTCCCAGATTTTGTGCAGAAAAGCAAAAATGCAGCCTTTGAAACACTTTCTGACCCTAAATACAGTGGAAAAATGAAGGTACATGCTCTTCTTTCAAGCTGAATATAGAGAGATGATACAGAAAAAAATTATCCACTGGTACAATACAATACAATTTAGACAGGTGCTCAGATATTCAGGAGAGACTGTGGCTCTAAATAACTATAATAGTTCTGTTAGCATTTCCTCATTCATTGTGTACACAGGTGGCTTCTCTATGGCAGTTGTATCAAATATAAACTCTCCTTACTAATATACTAGACTTAGACCTTCTTAAAATGTGTTCTGCTATCACATGTGTCATAGCTGTCTTGCTAGAAACATAAGTGTTAATGCTAAACAGGAAGGTAAGGGAGGAAAGGTTGGCGTGAGCCTAGAATTAGAGAAAGGAACCTCTTTAAGAGTTCATTTGGGGCAAAACTTTTATGTCTGTACACTTTCTGCCTATGGTTTTGCTTGCTGACCTCAATTAAAAGTTTGCAAGGGAACATTTGTTATGTAGGGGAATGGACCTGTAGCCATGTTATTCTTGGTGATATATTACTGAAGGAGGAGTGAAAACCAAGGCTAGCTTCTCCAACCATGACCTAAGCCTCTGGGCATTGCCCCTGACAGCAACAAGAAATGTTGACAGCCTCCAGCCTCCTTCTAACAAAATGAGTTTGCTTAACCCTTTCATAACTATCAAGAATCTTTATTTATGAATTCATAGCTTTTTATAAAACACTCTTCAACTATATGTTATAATTAAGGAAAAGGTAAATTATTTATTTCTTTTGGCAAAAAGGAATAAAAAAGTAATTCAAAGTAGTCAAGTTTTGTTTTTTCTGGAAATACTTTTAGAGTTAATCTAGATAACCTCACCAGGGCTTAGTTGCTTGGGATCTTTAAATTCAGTGAAATAAAACACAATATAGAAAAGTAATTCTTCAGGATGATTACATTAAAATTTTATGTATTTTAAATAGACAGGTTTATATTAGTGAGAATATCATGTCATTATCACACAAATAATTCAAAGCTAGTATTTCCTAATAGTAGTAAATCTTTTTATCCATTTCATTGAATTCAAGTTTTTAAAATATGAAAAGCTCAATTACTTTATGACTGAGCACTTATAATATCCTAAGTTAAGCCAAAAGAATGTTTCCAGAAATCATAGCTTCTTTGAAAATAACATTACCCACTAGTATTCATTTAAATTTTATTCTTTGTTACTTTGCCACAAAATGTTTTTTATTGTGAAAATACCATACAGAGGGGTTACAATTACATGGGCAAGGTAATGAGTACATTTCTTATCAAGCATTGTTGCCTCCTCCTTTGTTTCCCCTTCCCATCCCCCCCTTGCCACAAATTTACCTTTTGAAATGAAATAGTTCAGTAATTCTTCCTTTATATTTTTATATCTATTAAGACTAAATTTTAAATTTTTAATCAAAAGTCTAGGAAATAATGGTGTCTGATTAAGATAATTAGTGGATTTAATGTTTATTCAAATTGTTGGAGGAAAAAAAGCAGTCATAAAGCATTACTGGAGACTGGGAATACTGGTGTTCAGGAAGAATTCAGATAATTGACTTGTTTTCTGAGGGAGCAGAGATTGATAGTAGTAAACTATTAATAAAATATTTGGGGGATGTTTTTTACAATTTGATTAGCAACATTATCTGGTGATATTTTGATCTGGAAATGTAAAACCATCAGTAAACACTGGTGAGGGTATGCAGCAACAGGAACTCTCACTCAGTGCTGGTGGGATATCAGATGATTCCATCTCTGGGGAAGATAGTTTGGTGGTTTGTCACAAAGCTCTTAAAACTTATATTCATGTAAGAACCTCACTTGACTTTATTTATAGAAAGCATGGAGACAACCAAAATGTCCTTCATTATATGAATGAATAAACTGTGGTATAGCCTACAATGAAATTCATCAATAAAAAGAATTGAGCTACCAAACTGAAAATGCATGGAGAATCCTTAAATGCATATTACTAAATGAAGGAAGACAGTCTGAACAGGCTATTTGTGATTCCAACAATATGACACTGTGGAGACAGGAAAAAAAGCAGTTGTTTATAAGGATTCTGGGGATAAAGAATTAATAGGTGAAGCACAAGAAATTTTTTAAACAGTTAAATTATTTTGTATAATACTATAATTGCAAATACATGTAATGATACATTTGTCAAAACCCACAGAACTACAGCACAATGAGTGAACTCTAATGGAAACTGTGACCTTAATAATCAATGTACCAGAATTCTTAATGTTTATATTATAAAGACATTAATAGGAGAAAGTATGAGGAAAGGGCAGAGTGAAGATGAAATGGGAGTATGAGGGAACTTTCTGCACTTCCTAGTCAATTCTACAAACATAAGCAAAATCTGTCAATTAAAATACTTAATGTCTTCAACCAGACATTGGTGGCTCAGGCCTGTAATTCTAGCTATTTGGGAGGCAGAGATCCAGAAGATCTCTATTTGAGGCCAACTCTAATTAGAAAAGACCTCAAAAAACTGTCTTCAAAATAACCAGCAGAAAATCAGGATAGAAGTATGACTCAAGTGGTAGAGTGCCAACAGAGCAAGCAGCCAAGTAAGTGAGCATGAGGCCCTGAATTTAACCCAGTGGCAGATAAATAAATAAATAAGTTTATTGGAAAACGAAAGTTTGGAAGAGATGGAAAAATGATGAAAGTTTGAAGGAGAATGCATCAATTAAGTTGCATTAAATTTATAAACGGATCTGTTGAATTATATCCCTTTGTGTAGCTACTAAAGATGTTATTATACTGGGTATAATTTCTTTGTTCCCCCTGCAGATTGCTTTTCCATGGCATTCTAGAGCTATCATTGCCAGATGTGGGAGTGCCTGTTTAAAAATAACAGTATTGCTTGTATACACATGGCCTTGGACTTTCAGAAAAAGACTTTGTGGAGCAGATTACTGGCATTTTGAGGTCAAAATTCAATCTGGAAGTCAGAGCTTACTATAAATAGAGAAACAATGGGTAGAAAATGAGAAGAGGTGTATTATATCTAACTGATTGTTCCTAAGAAAATAAACATTAAGACTAGCTAGATTTCATGACATCTGGCTAGGATAATTTAAATACTTCCTAAAAGGTATGCTGCTCTATAATTTAGTTTTTCAACATGTTGTAGGTATAAAGAAAGTGTATATTGGAAATTAAATAAATCCATTTAAGTACAGCCCATAATTTAAAATATTTCCTTGTTATTAAAGCCAGATGAGATGAAATATGTCTTTAAGAGCTTTACATCCTTATTGATGAATAACATGTAATGTATTATCTAATAATGCTTTATTCCTCAGTCTTAGAAAAAATAGGTTACTAGGTTAACATTGCATTAAAAATAATTTTTAACAAATTCTCCAATAATGGTTACATATATAAAATATACTCGTTTTGGAACTGGTTTACTAATGTTTTGTAGTTCATTTCCAGGTCCTTCAGCAGCTTTTAAGTCATTTCAGGAAAAACAGAGATAAAGTTCTTCTATTCTCATTTTCCACCAAGGTGAGTTCCATTTGAAGTAAATTTTTACTTGCCTAGCCCTTTCTTCCCCATTTTTTTAAATAGTGAAAGATTTTTTTTTTTTTAAGAAAGATGACCAAATATTAAAAAGCTCATTTCAGGATAATGGGAAGAAGTGAAATAAATTGTTTTTATTTCAGTTTAGTTTTCGTGTTGCTGGGAATTGAACATAGGGCATTGCCTCTACCACTACACCCCTGTACCCCCAAATATTTACTGCTTTTTTTTTTTTTTGATCCGTCATGGGACTTGAACTCTGGGCTTGTGTGCTGTCCCTGTGTTCTTCAGCTCAGGGCAAGCGCTCTACCAGTTGAGCCACAGCACCACTTCCAGTTTTCTAGTAGTTTATTGGAGATAAGAGTCTCACAGATTTTTCTGTCCAGGCTGGCTTTGAACCATGATCCTCAGATCTCAGCCTCCTGAGTGGTTAGGATTACAGGGGTGAGCCACCAGCGCCTGGCTATTTACTGCTGTGAGGGCTTAGTGGTCAAGTATTTGCCTACCATGCATAAGGCCCTGGGTTCAATTTCTCTGTACCACATAAATAAATTATAAAAAGAGGAAAAAGAAATTGTGAGCCAGACACTGGTGGCCCACACTTGTAATTCTAGCTACTCAGGAGTCTGAGTACCAAAGATTGAGGTTCAAATCCAGCCAAAACACGAAAGTTCTTGAAATTCTTTTTTCCTTCTAACCAATGAAAAGCCCTTAGTGGAAGTGAGGGTGAAGTGGTAGAATACCATCCTTGAGTGAAAAAGCTGAAGGATTATGTCCAGGTCCTCAGTTTAAGCCCTAGTATAGGCGCGTGTGCACACGCACACGCGCACACACACACACACACACACACACACACACAGAGTACTGACTAAATCTAACCTCAAATAATCAGTGCTGTCTAAGTCTAACCTCTATATAGTAGAATGAGTCCTCTAAAATGTATGTTTTCCTCCTTTGTCTCTTTCTCCAGCTGCTTGATGTATTGCAACAGTATTGTGTGGCCTCTGGGCTTGACTACAGGCGACTTGATGGAAGCACAAAGTCAGAGGAAAGACTGAAGATCGTGAAAGAGTTCAACAGTACATGCGATATCAACATTTGTCTTGTCTCTACCATGTAAGAAAATAAAATTTGAGAGCTTGACTTTTATCTGTTTTTAAGATTTAAGTTAATTTAAAAAATTAATGCTAGATTCATTTTTAATGGAAAAATGTTTTGTTTTATTTAATTTTAAGAAGTAGTATGTTTCTAATTATAATCAATAATAGATTTGAATTTTGCATTTTTTTTTTTTTTGCTGATCCCCTTTATCATCACTGAATTTAGCTTATAAATACAGGGTATCCCTCAGCTCTTCAGCTCAAGGCTAGTGCTCTACTATTGGAGTCATGGCACCACTTCCAGCTTTTTCTGCCTATGTGGTGCTGAGGAATCGAACCCAGGGCCTTGTGCATGCAAGCACAGTACCACTGAGCCACCTTCCCAGCCCTGAGGACTTCTTTTTTTTTTTAATTTAATTTTATTTGTGAACATACTGTACAGAGGGGTTACAATTGCATGGGCAGGATAATGCGTACATTTCTTACCAAACATTGCAGCCTCCTCCTTTGTTTACCCTTCACATCACTTCCCAGCCTCCCCCCTCCCCCCCAGGACTTCTTTTTAAAAAAATTTTCTGACCCTAAAATGTGCTTTAATTCTATGAAATTGTGTATTTTTAAAATTATCTTTTAAGTAGTTGTTCAAAGGGGTTTCAATTCAACATGTCAGTTTATGAGTATAATGCATCACTCAGACTTCTTACTCATTGGATGAGTGAAAATTCCTGTAGCAGGAAACTGAGCTCACTCAGAGAGCTCAAAAGCTTGCCCTCCTCCACTTCTACCCAGTTATAGACTTTATAAAAGGTAACCATAAATAGATGTAATGCCTATTTCTGAATCTTTACTTAGAAGAAAGCATATACTTTAGAGAAAGATTTAAATAAATATGAACATCTGGGTGGGATGATTTCCTTTTTTGTGGAGGGAATAAGCAACCATAATTTTTACAATCCATGTAGTAAAAAATTTGTAGATTTACTCCCACTGTCTTTCAAAAAGAATTTCAAGGGACTTTAAAAAATAAATGTATTAGCTAGGGCACCAGTGGCTCACACCTATAATCCTCGCTACTCAGGAGGCCAGCCCAGTCAGGAAAATCTGTGAGACTCTTTATCACTGATGAACCATCAGAAAACTGGATATGGCACTGTGGCTGTAGGGAAAGCATTAGCCTTGAATGAAAAAGCTCAGAAACAGTGCCCAGTTCCTGAGTTCAAACCCCACAATCAACAACAACAAAAATCACAATAAAAATGAATGTATGTACTTGGACAGTAGAAGCAGGAGGATTGTAAATTCAGAGTCAGTCTGAGTTATATAGGGAATTCCAGGCCAAACTGGGCAGCTTACTGAGACCTTGGCTTTAAAAAGGAAAAGAAAAGGGCTGAGAAGTTGGCTCAGTGGTAGAGTGTTTGCCTCGCATGCATGAGGCCCTGGGTTCGTATTCCTCAGTACCACATAAGCAGAAACAAGCCAGAAGTGGTCCTGTGGCTCAGGTGTTAGGGTGCTAGCCTTGAGCTGAAGTGCTGAGGGACAGCGCCCAGGCCCAAAGTTCAGCCCCACATCGACAAAAAAATTTTTTTAAAAAGGAAAAGAAAAAAAATCATATGTAAAATGTATATAGTAAAAATTAAACCAAACTTGGGTGTTAGTAGCTTATCCTTATAATCCTAGCTACTCAATAAGCTAGAATCTGAGGATTGAGATTCGAAGCTAACTGGGGCAGACAAATCCAAGACTCATCTCCAATTAACTACCAAGGAACTGTGGCTCCAGTTACAGAATACTAGCCTTGAGCAAAAAAGCTAAGGGCTAGCACCCACACTGAGTTCAAGCTCACTGGCACTGAAAAAAATAATCAGGATAAAAGTTCATTTAAAATAAAAAATATATTTATAATTAACTGTTACTGTGGAGTACTAACATTATTCTTGAATTCCTGTAACTAAGGCAAAAAGAGACACTTTAGACTCACATTTTCCTCTGAATGAAGTCATGTCATTTTATCGCCTGGGTTCTTACACACAGAGTAATAAATGGCATACAGTACAGTTTTCAATTAAGTCTTAGAACATACAGGTTAAGTGTTCTTACTTTTAAAATAATGTGCTTTGAATTAATAAAACATTCAACATTAATTTGACTAGTACAGACCCTATAATGACATTAGTTGTCTTTTCTCTTCTGCTTACCTCTAGCCCAACATGTTGTTGTATTAACTCCTGGACTTGGGAACACTAACCGTTCTATTACTGTTTCCTATGGTTCCTGCCTCATGGTACATGATTTCTTCACATTTTCTATTTCTTATTCTCAATGTAGTTTCTTTGGAGACATCTTTTCCTCCTCTGTATAAATGTTTTAGAGGTCAGTTATTACAGTTTTTCTATTTGTTTGGTTTTGTTTTGCCCTATTAGGTGTCCTGACTGAGGCAAGAAAAACCTTTGGGATTTCTGTCTTTCTGTGACTGACTTAAAGAGCAGTTTTTTTCTATGTTATTATATTAGAGAACCTTATACAGTATAATAAGTATATTTATTAACTATTTTAATTTTTTAAAAGCTAAGTATTTTTCTCATTTTATTTTTTCAGTGGTTTATATTTACTTTCTATAGAAGCTGAGACATCACAGAGCCATTATTTTCCCAGAATTCTAAATCTATCAACTTTACCCAACTTGGGCTCTTTTACAAAAGAGGAACACCTCGTCTACTTTCATTCCTCTTTTTTTTTTTTTTCCAGAGTGTTTGCCCTTTTTGTTTATTTTCTATAAACTACTTTTCTCACTTGATCACTGTTCTGTCCATTTTTTCTGGGTTCCAAGCTGCATTTGTTCTTGGTTTGCCATTTGTTTTGCTGAACAATTCTGTTTTTAATCAACTTCCTGTATATTTTCCAATTTTTTGCAATGGCTGATATTAACACTAAAACATACCCTTCTACATTTGTCACCTATCTGTATTATATGTCAATTATTTTAACTTTTACTATCACCAATTTTGTTATAATTAAGTCCTGCAGTGATAATCAGGTTATTTTTATTAGCTCTAAAATTTAAAGACCAAAAAATAGAATTTACATTATGATTTCATAAATATTGTTTAATGCTGGGCTAATAGTACTACCAAGGCCATCTCTGAATATTCATGTCATTTCTTTTTTTGTTTTTGTTGGCCATGGGACTTGAACTCTGGGCCTGGGCACTGTCTCTCAGCTCTTCAGCTCAAGGCTAGCACTCTACCACTTGAGCCATAGCACCACTTCTAGCCTTTTCTGCTTATGTGGTGCTGAAGAATCAAACCCAGGGCCTCATGCATGAGAGGCAAGCACTCTACCACTGAGCCACCTTCCCAGCCCTGTTCATGACATTTCATTTAAGGAGTATAGTCTTAGCATCAACTAAATGAATTCTCATTTTTTATGTTTGCAAAATTATTTTCTTTCTTCCTTTCTTGTATGTGTGTGCGTACGTGTGCCAGTAGTTGGGCTTGAACTCGGGGTTGACTTTTTTGCTCATGGCTGGTACTCTACCTCCAGTTTTCATTTCATTTTTTTTAAAATCATGACTTTCTCAATTTCCCCACCCAATTTATTTTTCTTCTTTTAATAAACGTCAGTGTTTTATATTCTTACTCACATTTTCTCTGCTTTTGAGTTCTCTGTGTTCTGATAACTTTCCTCCAAGAACCTTTCATCTTGTGGTCTCAAGGTAGAGAACTTGTTTCCTCAACCTGAGAAAATGTACTGTTAATGGAGACTTGTCTCCATTGGATCTTTTACTTGGGTCCTGCACTCTTTGTCCACATTGTTTTTCTAGACAATTTCGCCAAGTTACTTTGTAAGCTAGGGTGTATAGAAAGTAAATTTTCTGTATCCTAGAATATAGAAAATGCCCCTGAGGATCCCTCCTCCTTGAATCCATACTCTGACAAGCTGTGGAATTCTAGGTTGAAAACACTTTCTTCTCAAATCTTTGAAGGCATTACAGCATTGTCTTTTGGTATTTAGTATAGCTAAATAGGTGTCTAATACCAGTCTGATTTTCATTTCATGTTGGAACTCCAAAGAATTTTTCTTCAACTGTATTCTGCTAAAATTCCACAGTGATATTTGAGTCTTAGTGTGGGTCCTTGGTCATCTATTTTGAAAGGCATATTCTTTTCAAATCTAGAGAATGCTCTTATTGTTTCTTTACAATGCTTTCCTTTTCTTCTGTTTTCTCTGTTTTCTCATTTGCCTGCTAATTCATCAAGTTTTAGCACTTGCATGCTAACTTTTTTCTTTTTGTTTTTCTGAGACAGCCAGATGAGCCTTGAACTCACAAGCTCTCAGACTTAGCTTTCTCAGAACTTGGGTAAAACTCCTACGTTAATTCTTTAAATATCATAGTTCATATCTTGTCATTTGTACTCTAATGTTCCAAGAAATTGCATTTTCAAATATTACTTGAAATAATCACATTTTTATTGTATTCTTTTCTTACTTTCTAAGCTGTTTTGTTCTCTGAATTATTATCTTAGCTTTCTCAAGTCATTTCACTCAACTTATTTTAAGAATAGTCACCTGACATTTTTCCTGAAGTTGGGTTTTTTAAAAATTGGAATCTTTAAATTTATGAATGATTTTGAGGAAAATTGGCATTCTTATGATATTAAGCCTTCCTAACCATGAATATGTAGATATTTTTGTGGAACACTGAAATACGGTTAAGGTATGCTTTCTACTATATGTGGTATGTGAATAGAATGTGGGGACTTAAGGAATGAACAGCTGCATGGTTGGTAAGTTTCTATCTCAAATATTAGTCCATAGGCTACAAAGGGTAATTTTATATTTTACTGTTTGAGAGAGAACCTTTTGCCATTGGCCCTGTATGAACAGAGCAACAGGGTAGAAAGTAGGCTTCTGAGTTGTATTATTATCAGAATAATTACAGAAATGAGGTTTAAGAATTTTCTTTTCTGATGCAAGCTTTGCCTCTGCTTTAATTCACTGAGGCCTCAGTTGTAATTTCGGAATCCATTAGAAGATTGCTACATCAACTAACAGAGTTGTGGCTCATAAAGACTATTTGAAACAAAATACATGTATGACATTGTCATCAAGAAGTTTTACTAAGTAGATACATCTTTAACTTAATACTTGTTTGGTGTATAAATCCCATGTACTTAAAATTACCCTTGATGGGATTGTAAGTTTTTTTTTGTCCTTTATAAAACCTACTCCCTAAGTCTCTTTCTTTGACTTAATGTTTCTGTGACAATTTTATGCTTTCATCTCTACAAAAATTCAATTTCTATTGAGTACTGAATTTTAAATCAGAATGCTTAGATTTCAATACAGATAGTGGCCACTTAGGAAACCTTGTTATCTTATCTGCAAAATGAAGATGTATAGCTGTCCTAACAATGGATAAAACCATATTTTATGAAAATACCTTGTGTAGTTTTTGGTATACAGCAGAGGCTCAAAAAAAGTTAAATTGCTTCCATTTAGAAACATTGTAGCAGAAAAGATTAGTATCATTTTTCTTTCCCTGGATATTTAACATTTAGTGTAAAGTGTTATGTAAATGTGAGTTGACTTTTGTGATACAGTTTTGGCAGCCAAAAAAGGAAGTCTGGCAATGTAAAACCTCAGAGAAAGGCTTGAGAGACAGGAAGAGAAAAATGATTGAAGAAAAGAAAGAAAAAAATCTTTATTTTAGGTTAGCATTTCTTTTTAAAATAGATTTTAATAGAATAATTAGTAAATACAAGTATTATAGACTACAAATTTCAAAACATGGACAGATCACAATTACTGTTGTGTAAAAGATAATACACATTTAATAGATACACATCTAATCTAAATTGACTTTTATATGTATTTATTACTTTATCTAAAATACACTAACAGCTTTTAAAAATTATGCTAGGAAAATCCTGTATAGTATTTGAGTATCCAAAAATTGTAAAAACCAGCACAGCCTATTTATTTTGGCACTCAGATGGTCAATTTTTTTAGGGATTTTCCTAGAGTAGATTAAGAATAATATGCTGGAAGTGGCATTGTGGCTCAAGTAGTAGAGCATTCGCCGTGAGCTGAAGAACCCAGGGACAGCGTCCAAGCCCAGAGTTCAAGCTCCACGACCAAAAAAAAAAAAAAAGAAGAAGAAGAAGAAGAAGAATATGGCATATATATATAATCTAAGCTTATCTATGTTTTAATTATCTTGCTTTTATGGTATTAGCAATATTATGTTGTTTTGACAGTACCAAGGGTTGAACTCAAGGCCCTGTTGTTACTAGACGGGCTATTTGTCACTGAGCCTTGATTCCAGTCCCTTTTTACAGTGGTTATTTTTGAGATAGGATCTTGTTTTCTTTCAACACACTTGCCTGGACCATGATCCACATATTTTATACTTCCCATTGTAACTGGGATAACAGATGCACACCACCATTCCCAGCTTCTTCCATTGAGATAGAATCACCTGGGTTCCCCCCAGGTGATTTACAGACTTGCCTGTAAATAAGATTTTCCTAATCTTAAGTCTCCCATATAACTGGGATTACAGGTGTGGCCCACTGATGCCAAGCATTGGTTTTGAGACAAAAATCTTACTATGTAGCCCAAACAAGCCTGGAACCTTGGAACCTGAGATCCTCTTATCCACACTTTCCAAGTGCTAGAATTACAGGTGTATAACACCATACCTGGTGATAATTAATGCTGTTTTAATGTGTGTTCTTTATATTTCATTCCCTAGGGCTGGTGGACTAGGCCTCAATTTTGTTGGTGCCAATGTTGTTATATTATTTGACCCAACTTGGAATCCAGCTAATGATCTTCAAGCCATTGACAGGTATAACAAATTTAAAGTAACTTGCAAATTCTTTCAATCTAAAAATACTCATGGTATCTTTTGATTATTCTTAATACAACTGACTAGACGGGAGAACCTTGTGAAAACTTCTGAATTTAAATAGCAGGCTGATAGTAGCCACTTGTTTTCTAGTCATTTGTAAATCCCAGTAATATGAAAGAAAGGACATAAGAAGAAATAATATAAAATTACAAAAATAAAGAAAGAACATTTAACAAGTAGATAATAAGAAATTTTGAGAAACTCCTGAAAGATAAAAATCAAGTAGAATCTGTGTGATCAAGAGAACAGAGGAAAAACCACAGTGCAAAATCTACAAAAAAAGAGCTAAGAAATTTCAAGCTTGAGATTAGTAACTTCAGGATATGAGAGTAGAAGACTGTATCAAGGAGACATAAAGTATGTGTGGAAGCAAATTCCCCTCTCACACTACATATTTACAGAGAGGTATTTAATAAGTATTCCTTCATCAGAGCTGAATAATAGAAGTAGAAGTAGCACTTTTTAATTCATTCTATGAAATCAGAATTTATTTCTAGAATGCAAAGATAGTTCAACGTCCTACAGAACTCAATATTATAAACCATATTAAGAAATTAGGGGGAAAACCCACACTGATCATCTTCATGCTGAAATAAAAAAAATGCATTTGGGCAGAGTTTACCAGCCTTAATGGTTTTAAAAAGTTAAGAATACCAAGGAAGAGGATGGGAAGGTGGCTCAGTGGTAGAGTGCTTGCCTTGCATGCATGAGGCCTTGGGTTCTATTCTTCAGCACCACATATACAGAAAAGGCCAGAAGTGGCACTGTGGCTCAAGTTGTAGAGCACTAGCCTTGAGCCGAAGAGCTGAGGGACAGTGCCCAGGCCCAGAGTTCAGGCCCAACGATCAGCCAAAAAAAGAATACCAAGGAAATTACCTTAGCCTAAAGACCATTTATACAAAATTCCCAAAATCCTAATGTTAGAAGACTGAATGGTTTTCCTCTTATCACACAAAGATAGGATAAATATCCTATGATTTCTCTAATATGTTACACATGGAATAACCAAATTCATAGAAAAAATAGAAAGGGCCCTGTTTTACCCAGTGAGATGTTGGTGGCTACAAATGTAATCTCTGCATCTTGGGCCTCAGCACTCTATCCCCTTGACCCCCCAGCATCCACCCCCTCTTCCTCTTACTTTGGGAGGTATGGGTGTCCTGGGCTCTAAAACAGGGGTACTTTGGGAGTTCATGTTGGCTTTCACTGCTAGAAGAACTGCTGCCTGCATTATCTCTGGTATCCTTGTATGCCACTTCTCCTGCCCTGGTAGTAGCAATAACTGGGAAAGGGGTTGGCTCATTGTGGAGGGAGCACAAACCCAGCTAGGAAGATGGAGACTTGCTGGAGCCCAGTGATGAGGAAGCAGGCAAGGTTGTCATTGGTGGCAGCAAGGTAGGCAAAGCCTGTCATAAGATCTTCAGTAACCATTACCACCATCTTCAGCTGAAGCTCCAGCCTCCTCCAACCTCCTTACACACCCACCATGTTGCTGCACAACTCCATGATGATCACCTTTCAGCACCCATGTCTCATTGCTGGTACCTTCCCTTATGCTACCATTGCCCATGGAGGCAATGGCCCAACACCCTGTCTGGTGCACAGTTGTGTCTTCAAGGGGGATGTGAAGAGACTCTCCTCCCTTATCTGTATGTACAGCATATGGAGCAGAAAGATAATCATTCCTTTTACATCTTGCTGTGATGTTAGGAAATAAAAAATGTGCCCATTCACTTTGGGCTCACAATGTTCCAGAAAAGGTGAAAAATACTCAGGGATAGAGCCATCTGCATCAGATATGGAGATAGACAGATGATTGCAGCTCTTTTAAGGAAACTTAATAGCAATCCAGGGCAAGTGTTAAAGAAAAAGACCTTGATTATGGAAAGCTTTGCAAGAGTTAGACTTATCTAGAACTTCACTAGGATTTTCAAAGCTTGTGTCTGTACTTTCCAAAATTCTGCCTTTGATTCATGTAAAATATACAAACAGGGTATCAATATCAGGCTTGACACAACTCTTACATACTTGACTGACATGAATTGCCAACAAGGAGATTCAAGCTTCATTTTCATTGAAGGTATGGCACCCTCTGAATCTAGTGTTAGACAATGAACAAAAAGTTTTATCAGGGCTGGGAAGGTGGCTCAATGGTAGAGCAATTGCCTTGCATGCATGAGGCCCTGGGTTCGATTTCTTAGCACCACATAAGCAAAAAGAAAAAAGCCGGAAGTGGCACTGTGGCTCAAGTGGTAGAGCACTAGCCTTGAGCTGAAGAGCTGAGGGACAGCGCCCAGGCCCAGAGTTCAGGCCCCACGACCGGACCCAAAAAAAAAAAAAAAAGTTTTATCAGCAGATACTCCATGAGGGAATCAGAGATGGAAATAGAAGTTGTTGACATTTTAATGAGCAGCAATATTTATTCAACTTTATGAACCAAATCAATTTTTTTCACACATGCCCAAGCCAAACAGTAAGAAACTTTTTGGCAGACTTCTGTCTGGTGAATGGACTTGTTTTAAAATCAATGAAAAGAAGAGAACATCTCAGTGAACAGGGTATTCTTCAAAATAAAGCCATCGTGGAGAGTTTGTGTAAAGGTGAAAACATAATGGAGCAGAGTATTGAGCCAATTTGAAGACAGTCCCTTACTCCTCCTTTTCAGAACACTATTACATGGGAAGGGGATATATTTGCTGAAAATGGAAAAGCTCCTCATCTGGGAAGAAAACGGGTGTGGCAAAGAAAGTAAAACATTTAAAGCCATAATAGCCATGAGCTAGGAATTTCCTTAGGAATGGAATTATTACTGAATATTCTAGAAGTAATAGCTCCCTTCAAACACTTTAACAAGCCTAGAGAATGTTCAAATGAAGCTTCCTCCAAGCTTTCCTGTAAAATTAGATACACCTGTATTTCCCCCAATCATAGCCACTGTGAATTTTCAGGAGTTTTGATTGATGAATTTGATGGCTTTATCTTTACCATACCTTCACACTCTGAATATAGTCAATATTATTGGACAGTACACTTAAAATAATTGTTATCTGTATTTTTGCATGTCAAAATAAGAGAAGAAAATGAAGTGATAAATTGATTATTTTGAATTATTATTGATTATTTAGAAATCACTATGGATCATTATTATTTAAGTTCTAATGCCAATTTAGAGTCAAATTAATTTCTTAGAAAAGAAAAGGTAAATAAGTAAAAGAAAAATATAACTTAGAAAACTAGAAAATCAAGTAAATAAAACATGTTATATTAAGTACATTATTCAAATAACAATATAAATTTTGCCTCATTGAAAGGTCATTTTGAAAAGTCTAAGGAGAAAAAAGCAAATATCCATACAAGCATACTTACTTGTAATAAACATTTTATGTACAATTTTATGCACATACATTTAGAAAAACAAAGACAAAGGAACATTATTTACATTATGTTTATTTTGAGCCAGGAACTTGCTTTAGTGTTTTTTATGGAATATCTATTTAATACAATTTCTTTTCACTGGACACTGGAACAATATGATGAAATACCCATTTTACATGTGAGCAAAGAGGGGAGACACATGATCTTATTAACTTGATCAAGTTCCCAGCCAGTAACTGGCTAGGTTTGGGTCTAAATCTGTACAATCTAAAGAGTTTGCAATTTTAACCAGCTCCTCTATACTAACAGCTGTCAAAGAAAACAGATAAAAACAATGGAGAAACAAATCTTTTCTCCTTTTTCCTTCAGATTTTGTCTTAAAATATGCGGTGTAACTTTGTGCTTATTTGATGTAGTTTATCAGCATGTATTATTTTATGCATCTCATGATTCCTTCAAAACCCAGTGCATTCCTCTTCCCTCTTTCTCCTTCCCCTTATACTGTGGCAGGAAGAACAGGAAAGATAAATGAAGATACTAACATACATATTGCATAATAGATCGCTCATACTTGTCTGTATACAGTGGAAAATCCATCACAAGTTCTTGTTTTATGGACCAAGAAATTGATGAAACAAAGATGCAAAGTAACAAGTATGTCTATAAAAGTGAAGGATAAATACTCTAAGAAAATTTAAGTACACACATATACCCAAAGACATTTTCTAATTTATTTTCTGATTTTCCTTAGAGGAAAAAGAGACTAAGTTCTTTTCTTCTTCCTCCAGGCCCCAGGAGGAAAGGGAGAATACAGCATGTTACCCTGTTTGGGCAGTCACAGGAACTTCACTACCTTCTGGGGATGTAAGATTTACAGGATTCAAGATGCCCTCTAGTAAAAGTTCCTATTCTGTGAGAAGGAAGGGGAAAGGCAGAGGGAATGCCAAATACAAGAGTAGATAGAGCAACCTCACAAGTTCAAACACAGATTTCCCCCAAATTGTAACATTTTTAAGCATGTTAGCAGTAAGCACTTTAGCAACTATAACAAGCGTTTTAAAAACAGGTGACCTCATTCTTCTCATCCAATAAAGCTTCCATATGAAAAGTTGCAAGGAACCAATATTAGTCACTGTGGTGAGGCAGGTTAGAGTTGTAATTAGTATTATGGTCTGTATCAGAACACCTGCAAAACTGGGTAATTCAGTCAAATTGTGGTTTGGACTCTACAATCTGCACATCCATACACTTTGCCAGTTGGTTAACTGCTTTTCTAAACATTATTTGAGGGTGGGAAATGTTTGTTTTACAACTTTCATAAAGGTATCATTGAATGTTATAAAGTAGACATTTAACATGCATACCTGGTTTGACATTATGTTCATTTGTGAAACCATCACCATAGTCAAGACAACGAACATATTGATCACTTCCTAATTTTTTCTTGTACCCTTTTATAATCCATTCCTTCTGTCACTCCCCATTCCTTCATTTCCAAGCAACCACTAAAAGCTGCATTCTGTAACTATGGGTTAGTTTAGGAGTTTAATGGTAATTGAATCACTTCGGAATAATCTATTCATAAGGATCACTAAAAGAAAACCAGTAAAAGTTTTTGGACACTGAAAGGTGTTTGTTACAAACATAACAGAAATGGAATTGATATCTATATTTTTCCTATAACAACCTCCTCAATAATTATCTTTATATGAGTATACATATATACAAATATATTATTACTAAATAATGTAGCATACCTCAATATAAACTATTTCTATTTTAATTAAAATTTTCATAATTTTACGTGAAAAAGCAATCTCTTGAACCCAAAGTTATATTACTTGGCTTTTGTTTTTAAATCTTTTCAGAGCATATAGGATTGGACAATGCAGAGATGTAAAAGTGCTTAGGCTGATTTCCTTGGGAACTGTGGAGGAGATAATGTATTTACGACAGGTATATAAGCAGGTAACTACATTTTTCCTTTCTCAAATTGAGATGTAAACATGTTTGGTTTCAAAAATTGGGAACAAATTTGTGTAAAAAGTTTTTAGTTTTATCTATAATGTAGAATTTGGTAAGATTATGAAATATACTCTTTAAGTATATTCTTATTCAATGTAGATTTCATATACTATGAAACATCAGTTCTTCCGCTTATTGAATTCTAGTACTCAAAGTTTCTTTGAGCAGCACTTCTTATACTTTAGTGTGAATATGAATCACCTAGGGATCTTGTTAAAGTACAGATTCTGATTTAGTGGGTCTGGGGTAGAACCCAAGGTTCTGCATTCTTAACTAGCTCCCAGGAGTCTCAGTACTACTTGTCCCCAGATCACAATTTAAGTAGTGAGGTCACATCTCCCAAATTGTGGGCCAAGACCTAGTGGTATGCCACAAATGGGTTACAGGTGCACTGCGATACTGATCCCACAGCTCTAAAGCAGTAAGAATGCCTACGCCAGCTTCCAGCCAAGCCTTCATTTGCTCCAGGCTGATGTTCATATATTACCACTTATATTTTCTTTATACACCATAACATGAAGAAGATTGGAGAGCAGTGGCTTAGGGATACTGTATGTAATGCAACTGAAACCACAGAAACACCCCAGTAAATGAAATTATAGGACTAGAACCCAAGCATACTAGCTACTGTGCTTGGTGTTTTTCACATGCATCTAAAATTGCATTAACTCATTAATAAGCTTAGGATATCAATTACTGCTCCATTCATACCTCTAGGTAAACAACATTTATTTCATTTAAATGTCCTCATTTAAGAAGATCTGGACTGAGGTTCAAGTTTAATTGTAGATCTCAAATTTGAGTTGCTCCCTATATATTTGGTTGGCATCTACTTAAGAGCAAACATCTGTCACATATGGTGGTAGTTAACCTAAGAATGATCCAATCTTAAATTTATGCTGTTTTTTTCATTCTAAAATTAGAATTAAACATAGCAGTTTTTGTTTTTTCTTCAACCAGTTAGCTCTATAAGAAACAGCTTAGCTGGGCACTAGTGGCTCTTGCCTGTAATACTACAGAGAGGAGACTAAGATCTGAGGATCACAGTTCAAAGCCAGCCTGGGCAGGAAAGTCCATAGCATTCTCATCTCCAATTAACTACCAGAAAAGGGGAAGTGGCCATGTGGCTCAAGGTGGTTGAGTGGTAGTCTTGAGCAAAAGAGCTCACATCCAGGCCCCAAGTTCAAGCCCCATGACTGACAAAAACATACACAAAGAAGCACCTCATATTTTGTTCTTTAGTATAACATAGCTACTTGAAATGTTTTTATTTTTCTATTTTACCACATTTGAGAAAAGTACAATATTAATTTTTTAGAGTACTCTCTTAAATTTGTCATAAGTAAGACTTTCTTCAATCATGTAATTTTTCTCAACCTATTATATTTCCTTTTTACCTATTCATTTTAATTCACTTAATGGAATGAAATTACCTGTTGCCTAATAATATACTTTAAATAGTATATAATAAAAAGTTTATCATGAGACAAGGTAATTTGAGTTTTCAGAACTTTATTTAAAGATAAGATGACAATCATAAGTTTGAAGACAGTTGTGAATTTGAATAATGGATATATAGGGAGCATACACTCCAGCCTCTCAAATATTCCTCAAATCTTGGGGAAAGATTAAAAAAAAAAACCATAAAGAAAAACTAACAGCAACAATGACAAAAAGCAGTAAGTAATGTTGGGAGGAGATAAGAAGAGTTTTTTCAGTGACCCAGACAGAAATAATAAGGAATTTTGAAAGACAGGAGTGAGTTGTGATTGAAGAAAAAGTGAAGCATAGTGAGGAGACTACTAATTAATTAATTGCAGCTTTCTTATGCCATTCTTAGACTCAATAGTTACTGAAATAAGAAGGGGCCCTTACATTGGTAATGTAAGAAAGTGCCCTAACCCTTACAGTATTTCTTTAGTTGTCCTAAAATTGTAGCAAACAGAGGTGTCTATTCTCTCATGAGAGCAATAAAAGGAAAGACTTGGAGCAGAGAAGTAAGCCAGAACACCACATTTTTGCTGATACTTAGAAGCAAGTCTCTCCTGTTACCAAGAAGACTAAATAGTTGCACTGCTCTCATCCTACTTGAAATACGTGCAATAGAGGCTAAGATAAAGATGTAAGATATTTAAAAGCAGATTAACAGCCAGCCAAAAATAATTACTGAACAGTTTACGGAAATAAACACTTTGAAAAAGGCACTGTAGCAGGCTGAATAATGTCCATCAAGTCCTAATCCCTGGAGCCCATAAATGGTATTTGTTTGTTTTTTAATGCCAGCCCTTGGGCTTGAACTCAGGGCCTGGGTGCTTTCCCTGAGTTTTTGTGTTCAAGGTTAGTTCTCTACCACTTAAACCACAGCTCCACTTCTTGTTTTTTGGATGGTTAATTGGAGATAAGAATCTCAGGGACTTTCCTGCTGGGGCTGGCTTTGAACCACTACCCTTGGATCTCAGCCTCTTGAGTAGCTAGTATTACAAGTGTGAGCCATCTGCCTCCAACTAAATGGTACTTTTTTATGAAGAAAAAAAATTAAAAGGGGATCTTCGTATATGTGATTTAATTAAACATTTAGATATGGGGAACTTATCCTGAATTGTCCAAACTATCCTTATAAGAGGCAGAGGAAAATTTGACACTGGAAAGAAGGTGGCAGGGTACCCATGGAGGCCGAAATTATAATGATACAGCCACAACTCAAGTAATGCTGGCAGCTAGGGAAGCTGCTAGCCCAGGCGGGAAAGTCCATAACACTCCATAACTGAAGAGTTATCCACCAGAAAAGGGGAAGTGGCACTGTTAGTAGTCCAGTAGTAGCCTTGAGCAAAAGAGCTCCTGGACAGCATCCTAGAGCCTCCAAGCTGAGTATAGCTCCTTGACTTTAGCTCCGTGATCCTGACTGCAAATTTATGACCTCCAGAACTATGAGAGAATAAATTTCAATTGTTTGAAGCATTACATTTATGATAACATTTAAGTGTTTGAAGATGTTAAGTTTATGATAACTTGTTACAGGAACCATAGGAAACTAATACAAGCACCTTAAAGCTACACAGAAGAAGGATTAATATCAGAGAACTTAGAATAGATAATTAAAGAAACTTAAAGAAACATAAGTAATAGTCAAAGGGTAAACCAAAAACAAGAATAAACTTCTAGGAAAAGACTATTTGGAGAGACTCAGAAAATGAAATACTCTACATGTAGATTGAGTAGCAAAAGACAGATCTTTCATCTAAGAGAAACAGCCAAGTAATTTTTTTAAACTGCAAAACAAAAAGATAACACATGTAAGAGGTTAGGAGAAATGGATCCAGAAGTGGAAACTTCAGTCTTTGTGTTGAAAAAAAAAAGAATAGAAACAAGAACCAGGAAGAAATGTGTAAAACAGAAAATAAGAATCAATGGATTATATGAGCTCACCAATTTCAAAATAGGATGAATGGAAACAGTGTCATGGTGGACATAGAGTCCATTTCTATTTTGTCTAAGCATAAAAGTAACAAGGATAAAGTAAATACCCTTAAAATGTCTAGAGGAAAAAAAATTAGTACCTACAATTGAACTTGGATTAGATAAACACCTGTCTTCTTCTTAGTGATACTAGATACATAGGAGCAATAACTTCAATGAGGGAAAAGGATATCTTTATGCGATTAAATGTTAAAACTTTATGCTGTTTAAGAAACTTTAAAATTTTATAAACTAAAGAAATTTTAATTTAAAACGTGAAGGAAGATCCTAATCCAGATTACTTCAGCATTCAAGTCTATCCAAAGTTTAGTCTTCTTTTTGAAAACAGAGGAAAGAATAAATTTATTTAGAAGAATACTGTTGCCAAAACCTGGCATATATTTCATGAACAGAAAGTTAACAGACCACAATCTCTTGTGAGAATAAAAATCAAAGCCTTTTACAAAGCTTTGGTTATGAGTTTATTTGTGTCAGTTCTTGTTCAAAAAGTATGCTGAAGTCCTAACTACTTGTATATGTGAGTTCAGATCATTTGTAAGTAGGATCTTTGCAGATGAGATTGAGATGAGGTTGTATTGGATAAAGGTAGGTTCTTATCCAATGACTGATTTTCTTAAACACAAGGGGAATTTGGATACAGACACACAGACAGTAGAGACAAAAATTGGGCTGATGAAGCTGCAAGCCAAACAACAAGTAGGATAGCCATCAACTGCCATTAGCTAGGAAATAAATTGACAAGGAAGGATCATCACTTTCAGAGAGTATGGTCCTATGGACATTTTAATTTCAGACTTTAAGCCTCTAGACTGTAAGAGAAAACCATCTGTAGTACTTAAGCTATCCAATTTGTAGTACTTTCTATATAATAGCCTATATAATAATAATAATAACAAATACTGATTTTAAGTAAATGTTGTAGATGTAAATATATTTCTATATGGAGCTTGTGAATGGCAAAGGAACTGAAAATATAATTGAGAGGGGTCTCTCTCTCAATCCTGCTGGTTCCATAGAGCAGACACTGATGGCAGATGTAGGATTGTTCATGCACAATTTTGATATTAATATTTAATATTACCATAAGAGGTGTAGAATGACATTGATGAAACTGAATAATCTCCTCTGTCCTCAGTTTTTACTGGATCAGAGAGTACATGTTTACCTAGGACAATTTTGGCTACAGATTAAAGGGTACATTCAGAAAGACAGTTAATAGGATATCAGGATATAGTAAAGTAAGGACAAACAGGTACTTACCCTGTCTTTTGACAGGATTACTGTGGAATGTCAAACACTGAGAATCCTATGTCATTATACAGACACACATAAGATAGTTTTACAATGAGAAGCTCTCTGATGACATCAGGCATTCACTGTACACACCATCCAATCATACTTCTGCACCCAGTCATATCTCTTATGAGGCTCTAAGGTTCCCATAGTTTCCCATATATATGGTGAAGAAATAATATCTGTGAAATATTTAAAACTCCTACAAACTAATAAAGAGATTATGTATAGGTAAAATTATAAGTGGTTAACACGTATGTGACAAGAAATAAGCCACGTAATCTAGAGGTAACAAAATAAAATATTATGTTCTATACACTGCAGAAACTTTATTTTTCTCTTGAAGGATTTTGGATTGGGGAGCTTTTTGCTGTTCATTGTTGGGTATTTGTGAAGAGGTACTTATCACTATTACAAATGCAACCCAGACACTTAGAATGCCTGTGATCTCCATACCAGCCTCACAGAAATGCTCTGTACATGCATAGGAAAGGATGACACAGATTTATACCCAGCATTATTAGTTTATTTTAAAATAAAAAATGAAACAGCTTGGATGTCCAACAGTAACAGAACACTAACATAAATTCTCATATACCTAAATCATACCATAGTCTGCAACAGAAAACAAAGATTGTGAGACTCACAGTCATGAAATACACTCTGTGACAAGATCACTGAGACATTTTCAGATTCCTGAAAAATCTTTCAAAACAGAATGTATTGTATATAAATTGTGCCTTGTATATAAATTGTTGTACATAAAACTACTTCTATTCATATATAAATAAGTATAACTACAGTGAAAAAGACTTTGGTCTCTGTTGAGAGAAGATCCCTGTTGTTCAAGAGGGACTTGGAGTTTTGATGTGATTGGTTTGCATGTATTGTGAAATACATTCAAATATTACATACTTCTAAAAATAAAAGCATTTATACAACTGTACTCCTTCAAGTTTGGAGAATTATATATACTAAAAGTTTGGTACTCAAGAGTTCATCTCATATATGTGTATGTGATTTATTTAGAAGTATTTACAGAAGAATTGCAAGAACAGCCCAAAGAATACCCTCCCTCTCAACTTCACCCCAGTTCTCTACTTGATAACACTTTATGTGTTTCATTTTGCTTTCTCTCGTCCACTATCTTTGTTCTTTTTCTGACCCTTTGTGGAAAGTCACAATCTTACACCAGTGTGTATATTGCCTCAAAACAAGGACACTTCCCTATTTACCAGTAAAAATAATTATAGACATTATAACTAGTTACACATATCATTCTGCAATTGGCCTTTTCCTCATCCTGTCCTCTCCAAAATGCTGTCGTCAAGACCAACAAATATAGAGTACTGCCCAACAAATATAGAGTACTGATTTATGTTGTTCCTAAAATGGAATTTGTCCTTAAGGGGTTTGATATCAGTGCTGTTTCTGTATTCCAAATTGTTTCAAATATGTTGTGTATATAGAACAATGAAGGCTTATGGGTTTTAGTTTTTGTGGGCTTTTAAAAAATTTTTTGCTGTTAACAATGTAGTCATTAGTTTGATACCAACATGTTATATAATTATATAATAATTTAACTTCAGTGATAGAATAATTACCAGTTTTTGTATTGCTATGAATTTATAAAGAGAAAAAGTGTAGTCAAGTGTGTTTTTTCACTATTAAATGTTTAAATGTCTATATATGCCATAGAGATATAATCTGACTACACAGAAAAAACATAGAATAGGAAATGTAATATCTTTACTTCAGTAAGACTGACCGGATTATTGTTACTTCACCATAATGGTATCATCTGCCAGTGAAATTAAAACAATTTCCTCCCTGAAGAGAGTTAGCTTGTTCCAGCGAAAGCTGTGTATATACAGAGAATGCCAGGAAATTCTGACATATTGTTGGAACAAACACTTAAAAATGTCTTGTATTTTTTGTGTTTTAGCAACTTCACTGTGTGGTGGTGGGAAGTGAAAATGCCAAGCGATATTTTGAAGCTGTCCAAGGATCAAAAGAACACCGAGGAGAACTTTTTGGGATCCATAACCTCTTCAAGCTAAGATCCCAAGGGTCTTGTCTTACAAAGGACATCCTAGAGGTGTGAAATTGTTGCCTAACTTTTTTAGTAACATTTCAAATGCAGTTTTATCCCTCGGTAAATTAAAAATATAATTGTTTAGGCCTTTTCAGGGATTTCTTTTTCCTTATCAGAAATAATTATGTTCAGAGTTTCTACTTTTAGAGAAATAGGAAATTAATTATTGTACCTCTAAGGTGTTTCAAAGCACGACTGTAAATAATGCACACACAGTTACAAATACTGATATGAACTAGTGTGACCTCCATGCCATTTTCAGACTGTCAGAAGTTGACTAGGCTGAAAACAGCTGTTGAAGGCAAGAACTAAAAAAAATAAATAAGATTTTTTCCTAAGTAAGTAAAACTGTAAAGTATGTTTTGATTAAAAGTTACCAAATACTCCCTGAGATGAACTCTCCTGGAGATTTTTGTTTTCTCTTTCCAATAAAAATTCCACACCAATATTTCAGATTCTCAGTGTGTTCATCCTCACCATATGGATGTTTGTTTCTCTTCAAATGAAATATTTTTACTTTTTAAAATTTTTACTTTAAAAAATATCTTTTGAATTTTTTAACATATCAGAATACTAAGGACAGTAACTTGTGTTCTAATTGATATTAATATGGATATCATAGAATCCTAGAATATCTTTTTCTACCTCTTTATTATATAAATAAGGAAACAGTCTCAGAGAACTTCAGGCTGCTTTCCTTGACTTCTAGGCCTTTCTAGTAAACTAAATGTAATTCATATTAGTCAGTAAATGAAAAGAAAATTGATGAAAAATCATTTAAGAAAAACAGATCCCTCTCCTTGAGAAACTTAGACCTTCTGGACAGGAAGTTTATATAATGAACATGTTATATTAGTAATTATATACTAAGTTCAATGGTAGTAGAATGATCACTGACAGATGTAAAAGAAGGTAGATAATACTTGTATCCTGTAAACATTCCCTTACAGAATCTGATGTCTACTGCTGAGTCTTTGTGGTAACTGTATTTGATTCTGAATTGAATGGCCCATAGGAAGTCCTTTTTTTCATTTTTGTATGGTTTTTAAAATGCTGTTTCTTTCATGGTGTTTATCCCCATTCCTCTTATCTATAGTTTTGTTTGTCCTCCATCTCTATCCATCACCTCCAGAAGCCACTTCCAGCTCAAAGGACTACTTGACATGCCTGTATTGCTGTCTGCAACTTAAAATCAGTGTCTATCAGAATACTAGCATTGGAGTTTGTCCTGTTTTATGCTATATATGATACAATTTAGTTCTTTGTTTTATCAGAATAGCCATGTATTCCTTTGTTAAACAGTTCTTAAAACAAAATGGAACAAGTGGAGAGTCCTTGTGTTCACTGGTTGTCTTAAGTGTATCTTGTTTATTAATGATAGGACTGTCCACATCTTGCTTTTGTTTGTGGTAAAATGTGCTTAACACCTTGTTAAGCATATCATTGGTACTCAGTTATTACATAAAATTTGAGGTAAAAATTTTCATATGTCATCAATCAGAACAAAATTGTTCAAACCAGCTTAGACTCACGCTGCATTTAACCAAAAAATATTTTAAAATATTAGTATTACAAATTCTGTATGAGAGGAGACTTTTAAACCTGAGCCTAAAAAAATAAAATAGACAATCCTATATATAAGACCTTTACTTCCATTTGGCAGAAACAAGTAATAAACAGAGTAAGTAAACCATACAAGATTCTGATATAAAAATAAAACAGAGAAAGGAAATAGTGAGTTTCAAGGAAAAAAAAATACCATTTTAAGTGGGGTGGCCAAAGAACCCCTCACTATGAAGTTCCAGTAACAATGGAGAATTAGGTAATAGGAAGGCAGAAGCAAGAAGCCATTTAGAAGAGTACTGTAACAATCTACCTGCCATGTGATGATTTGGGTAATAATGGCAGGTGGTATCAGAAATGCCTAGATTCTGTCTGTATTAGGCAGGTAGAAGGACAGGACTTCTTGATGGATAATATCCAGGACATGAGAAAACAGAAAGGAGTTAAGTATTGTTCTAAGCTATTTGGTTTATGCAACTGAAAACTGATGTTTCTGTTTACCTGTTACAAAGGAGTTTCAACTTGAGGATTTCTAGTACTGTCAGTTGTCAGTGAATATGAACAATACGTTGGTGATATAGGCCAGAATAATGTCCAATATTATTTGTGGAGTCTGAAGTATTACTCGCATGGTCTTACTATAATTATCCTGCAGGAAAGACTATCGTAGGTATAATTCTTAGGTAAATACATAACATTTTTCACCCCTCTCCCTACTTATGATTGCAGTAGAGTTGGCTATCTAAAAAAATTGAACTTCAAGATAAGAATTATGATTATTTTTAATTGTTACATAAAACTTGTTGAGTGGCTTAATTAATGTTAAAGCAGCCAAGCATGATCTCTTATACCTGCAATCTAGGCTACTTAGAAGGCCTGAGACTAGCTTAAGAAAAAAGGTCACAAGACCTCATTTCAACCAATAAAATGCTGGGTATAGTGTTATATTCTACCTTCCCATCTACTATATGATATAAATAGGAGGATCACAGTCCAGCCCAGCCTAAGCAAAATGCTAGACCATATTCAAAAAGTAAAATGGGCTGAGGGTGTGGCTTAAGTGGTAGAACACTTGCTTAGCAATGTCTTGAGTTCACATCCTAGTATTGCTACCCTCCAAAGAAATCAAGCAGCACTTTCTTAGCTCTAAAATTTAGCATTTCAATTTTCTATTGTTGCTATACATTTAAACATATATACTTGTTTTTAACATATTGTTTGCTTTCTCTCTTATGGGCATTCTAGAGAGAAGGCCAAGTAGAAGCGGGGATCATAACAGCCACAACATGGTTGAAAGAGGGACCTCCAGCACACAAAGTAGAAACAGTAAGTACTGTATGAGTCTGTACCCTCATTTAAACTTTCATTTATTTTAGACAGTTGAATTCATAAAAAGACTGTACCAAAATATAATAATAAATCCTTTATATTTGTTTATTAAATGTACTTTTAGAAAACATCAAGTGATAGATATGCTTGTGTCTGAATTTTCTGCCCATTGCCTTCCAGTGCCTTCCATGCCATCATCCTCACATGCTCTAATATTTTTGTCATTGTTCCTTATATAGCCCAGAGAGTCTGACTGTCAAGAATCCAGAGGACCAGAACCACCTTCAGATGCACTGGCAGCAGATGTGTGTGATCTCTGCAGTGATTTCAGTGATGAGGAAACTGTGAGAACCTCAACAATGAGGACTGCTAAACACAAAGCATCCGATTCAAGTAAAGCTTCTGGCTCTTTGGGACAGCTCACCTTATTCCAGTGTGGTTTCTCAAAACTATTTGAGGCCAGATGTGAAGCTCCTGAGGACAGTGATGAGAATCACACCTCTGGTGGTGGAAGTTCTGATGAACAGCCCACACTGCCATCAGCAGATGCCAACGATGCTGATTGTCAGAAAACTCAAAATTCTGTTTCTGCTTCAAAATACCAGAACGTAGATACCATCCTAAATCCACAGGAAAATTGTACTTCTAAGGAAAGCAGGATTTTGGAACAGAACATTTCTTCTGAGTCTGATGATGAGAAAAAATTTCAAACTATAGTTGGACATAATTGCATTTTACAGAATGGCACAGAATCAGAGGACAGTGATGTTATTTTTCCCACACAATATAAAACTCAGAGATTCCCTAAAAATCGAATAAGGTTTAAGCCATTCCTGGGTGGATCTGAAGATTCTGAAGCAGAATACCCTGTAAAAATCAGAAGTAGTCATCATGGTAAAAAGAAGGGTGACAGAGGATCAAGTTCAAAACACTTAAATGCCAAGAACATGACCCTGAGATCTATCATAGAAAGGAAAAACACTGGTGATATAAGTGATGAATCTGATGACATTGAAATTTCTTCCAATTCAAGAGTAGGAAAGAAGAAAACTACTAGTTCATTGAAGGAAAAGAAAAGGGAACTTGACTACTTTTCTAAAACAATGAAGAAAACAAACCAACTGCATGTACCAAATGAGGATTGTAACTCTCAGCTTATTGAGGCCTTTTCATCCTCAGAAGATGAGTTATCTGCCAGCCACTTCTGTCTCACCAAACAGAGCCATAGAGAAAAAACTATAAAAGACAGAATCACTTTCTCTTCAAAACGGCCTACCCATAAGAAAAACAGTACTTTCATACCAAGAAAATCAGTGACATTTTCAAATGAGGGTTTTGTCACTCAAGAGCATGAGTGTGAATCCATGGATAAAATTTTAGGTAACTACAAACATACTCTGAAAAATTTTAACTACTCTGGTCAGTCAAATAGTTCTTCAAGATACTGTTAAATTAGCTTGTAAAACAGCTCTAAAAATGAAGGAGCTGGCTGGGAAGGTGGCTCAGTGGTAGAGTGCTTGCCTTGCATGCCTGAGGCCCTGGGTTTTATTTCTCAGCACCACACAAACAGAAAAAGCCAAAAGTGGTGCTGTGGCTTAAGTGGTAGAGCCCTAGCCTTAAGCTGAAGAGCTAAGGGACAGTGCCCAGGCCCAAAGTTCAGGCCCCATGACCGGCAAAAAAAAAAAAAAAAAAATGAAGGAGCTTCACTGAGATACAAATAAGAAAAGAGGTGAGGGGCAGGATAAAGAGGCTACCCATATCAGGATTCTTTCTGTGTCTCATCCCAATCACACTGCTTTTCTGCCCCATAAATACCAATTATTCTGACCTCTACAGTAATTCCTTTTTATAGTGTTACGGTTTTATCACACAAATGTGCATCCCTAGATACTAATGACTGTGTACTAATGTATATTTTATTTTGTCTAGTCTCTTACAGGATTCATCCATTGCTTTCATTAAAGCTTTATCATTTGCCTGTTACTAGAGTGCTTTTACATGTCCCCTGACCTCCCTCAACATCAGCTAGCAGAACATGTCTCCAGATTCAGCTGTGGACCTCAGGTGGTCATGATCTTTACAGCAAATACCAATTCTTAATTGTTTCCTTATTCCTTACTCAAAACCTGGCACCATGCAGTGGGCAGCTCTTGGGGTTTTTACCTTAGGGTTTTTTACCTTAGGGGTTGATGTCGTCAAGTTGACCATATTTTGATTTTGCTGTCTAGTTGCTGTTTGCATGTGAGAATTCATCAGTATTGAAAAATTGATCCCTGCCTAGAATCTGTTTAATGATCATAAGAATTAGTCTTGCTTTCCCAATGTTAAATTATATGAAAGAAGCTGATTTAAAAAAAAACAACAACTGGGATTTCTTTTTGTAGGAACCTTAATTCTTATGTTTGATTTATTTATATACCAGGCTTTCTTTACACTTAATAATGATCTCACTGGTGGAGTGCATACCTAGTATACAAGGCCCTGGGTTTGATCCCCAGCATAGTATAAGAAAAACCCCACAAAAGCTCATTATAATAGATATTTTGGTACTATTGTAAACCAAGTATTAGATTGCCCTTTCATTTGTATACTACAGTGAAATTTTTGGATTGAGTATTGTATACATTAAAAAAAATCATCAGTAGTTAGTGTAAGACAAATACTGTGGTAAATAATATATAAAATGTGTCATCAAAATTAAGGAAAAATGCGAACAAATTTTCCATCAGAGAATCCTTTAGACAGTTTTCAAAATGTGCCATAGATATTACCTACTGTTTTTAAATTCTAAGGAAAATGTCCTGCTTACCCTTTTAATCATACAAAATGATGTCTTGTGTTTGCATGATTAGAAACTTTAGGATGAGAGATGTTCAGAGCGAAAACAGCATATGTGTTGGAGATTATAATTCAGGCCATTGCCAGAGCTACTTGAGGGAACTTTAGCACATCTCATTTCTATTCTAGTTTACTTATTTATGATCACAATTTCAGAATAAAAGCCATGAGGAACTTTTTTTACATTTCCTAAAAAGCTCCCAGCTTCATATTGACATTCTCTGGGCCTGTGTAAAAAAAGGACAAATTGCAAGCAATAAAACTAAGCAAATCCAACCAAAAGAAAACTTTCCTCATCTTAAGCCCCATGTTTCCATCCCATTGCTGTGATCAGGTACAAATTTATAGGAAAATAAGGCTAAGAGCATTTCCTCAACTTTGAAGTTAACAGAGGACAAATTCAGAGAGTACTCTTGAGCATGACTTTCTTGTGACCAAACCCTTTTCCCCCAAATTTCAGGTTTAAATTTAAAGGCTGTTACCTAATCTCAAAGTTTCTCATATTGATGAATAGGAAAGTCAGTTCCAAGTTATCCTAGACTAACATATTTGAACTTTCCTTTCAATGTTATTGGGTTTTTATTTATTTATTTATTTATTTTTTATTTGTGAACATACTGTACAGAGGGGTTACAATTACATGGGCAGGATAATGCGTACATTTCTTACCAAGCATTGCAGCCTCCTCCTTTGGTTTACCCTTCACATCCCTTCCCAGCCTCCCCCCTCCCCCCCAATCCCAACCCTTCTCCTCCCCCCCTTCCCCCCCCATTGGGTTTTTTTTTTAAAGATATACTTTGGTGTTAACATAAAATAGGCAATTGCCAGGGTTCTATAATCTTACCTACTCAGGAGGCTGAGATAAAAGTTCACAGGACACCATTTCCAAAATAATCAAAAGGCAGGGTTGGCATGATTCATGTTCTAGCATCAGCCTGGAGAGTGTAAGGCCCTAAATTCAAACCCCAGTACCACCCTCTCCCCCTAAAATTAAGTATTTTTACTGAGGATTAAGAATAAGGTAAGCATATTTGGGTATAGTGACACACACTAAGCAGTTCAGAGGTCAGCCTGGACTATAGAGTGATACATGATATGCTGTCTCAGAAAATAAAGCAAAAATAACCTTTGTTTACTGTAATATTGGTAATTTAAGGTATTCATAGAACCATATTGCTTCATGGAGATAAATCACCTATTATCAATTACTTCCTAGATGGTGTTCAGGAAGTGGCTTACATTCACTCAAACCAGAATGTGATTGGATCGAGCAAGGCTGAAAATTGTATGAGCCGATGGGCAGCCCGTGATGTATTTGAGCTGAAGCAATTTTCCCAGCTTCCTGCTAACGTAGCTGTTTGCAGTTCTAAGGTATGAAAAATATAGAATAATACTGTTTTCTCAGTATCATAATTTAATTTTTATCTCGTTCACATGAATTTTTTTAAGTACATCTTTACAAGTAGTTACTAAAATTGTAACTTACAAGTAAGAGTAAAAAAGCCAAAACACCATTTGGGGAAAGGTAATTACAGAAGATGTCTCAGGGACAAAATAACTAGTAATACTTAATTTCTTAATATTTCCCATTTAAAAAAAATATACCTATGGCTTCAAAATGCAAAAGAATCTGAGGGGATCTGGCAGTTGAATCAAAAGCAAAAGAACCTACCTACCTCTCCTCATGGCCTGGGTACTGTCCTTGGACTCCTTTTGCTCAAGGCTAGCACTCTACCGCTTTGAGCTACAATGCCACTTCCAGCTTTTTCTATGGTTAATTAGAGAAGAGTCTCATGGACTTTGTTGCCTGGGCTGGCCTCAAACTGTGATTGTCAAATCTCAGCTTCCTGAGTAGCTAGGTAGATATGAGCCACCGGCACTGGACTTAAAGAATATTTATTTATTTATTAGACCAAAGTTCTTTAAAAAAAAAAACTTTATTGCCAAGGTGATGTACAGAGGGGTTACAGTTACATATGTAAGGTGGTAAGTACATTTCTTGTCTAACTTGTTACCTCCCTCTCTCATTTTTCTCTCACCCTCCTTCCACCCCCACTCCCACCCCCAAGTTGTACAATTCATTTCCAATATATTGTCTTGTGAGTATCCTTGTTGCATTGGATCTTTGTCCTTAAAAAAATAAAATAGTGAACACCTTATATGGACTCTATTCACTTATTGTTATCTGGAAACAAAGTATTTTGTAAATATGAAATTTGTATTTGTATATGGTCACTTCCCTCAAAGTTTTTAAAAAAAATTTTCCCTTTGACATTTTACTCTTTCTTTCTTTCTTTTTTTTTTTTTTTGTCAGTTACAGGGCTTGAACTCAGGGCCTGGGTGCTGTCCCTGAGCATTTTTTCCTAAGGCTAGCATTCTACTTACCATTTTGAGCCACAGCGCCACTTTTGGTTTTCTGGCAGTTAACTAGAGGTAAGAGTCTCACTGACTTTTCCACCAGGCTGACTTTAAACAACAGTCATCAAATCTTAGCCTCCTGAGTAGCTAGGATTATGGGTATGAGCCACCCGTGCCCAGCTGACATTTTAGTCTTTATTAATTCTTAGAAACTAAATTTGAAGTAGTTTCACTATTACTCTTGGGAAGATTTTAAGACACATATTGTATATAAAAGTGATATTTTGCTTTAACTTAGTATTACTTTTAAGAATATGCAGAGGAAAACCCCTCTTGTTTTTTAAGTTGACATCATTTATTTGTGCAACAACTAGTTCAACAAAGGTTTTTAGTCATTTTAACAGTAAAACTCAAGTGTATAGCAAAATCCATGATGAGAAGAAATAAAAGTTAGACTGGAAGTTCAACTTAGAGGGAGTTAGAGCACAGACATAATGTTATATTAGGGTACTTTATTAACAGGACAATTTTTTTTTGGAGTTTTCTGGAGGACAAAGTAAGTAAGCCACTTATTTGGTGATTTCTCAGCAAATGAATGTGGAAATGTATGTGGGGATTTTGGGTGGTCATAATGAATAAGTGCCCAACTGGCATTCATGTCTAGAGACTAGAATGCCTAATGACCAGTCTGGACCAGAGGAATAATGGAGAGCGCAGAGCAATCTGACATGCAAAGAATTGGTCCATGCCAAATACCATCACATCCTGCTGAGAAACAGTAAGTTAACTTGTTGTCTTTCAGGGGAGAACAGGCACCTACCAGTTCTTTTATAGGGAGCAAAGCTTTTCTGAGCACTTCATTTGAAGGAAATTTGTCACCTGGGTTTTCTAATGGGGATCACTAAAGGATCTACTAGAGTCAGTTGTCTTATGATATCCCTTGAGGAAATATGATAGATTTCTTAAAAGCTGTGCTTTTTGAGCATTTTTAGTATAATATAAAAGCCTATTGCTAAATTATAACTTATAAGCATTTTTTCATGTCCCAAGTATATTGCTTGGTAATTATTTGATTAAAAAAAAATGCCACGCTGTCATCTCTCCTGGTAGACAGGAACTTTCCTACAGTTTGACTGCCTTGTAGGAGATATCTGAAAAAGGCAGAAATGTATTTGGCTTTTCAGAAATTTGCTTTTTTAGGACATAAAACATACCAGAATCTTCTAAAGGTTTATTTTTAATCAATTTTTTATTTTTATTTTTAAGCTGTGTTCCTCCAAATATATTTTTATATGAAAAGCCAGATAATTTTTCAAACCCTAAATTTAATAAGATGTTAATAAGAATTTATATTAACCCTCCCACCTACCCACCCAAAATAAACCTCAGAAACAGCACCCAAATGTAGAAACAGTAAACCATCAATTTGGAACTTCTTAGAGAAAGTTGTAAAAACAGAAATGCCCTTTGCCTCAACTCTTTTTCAGCTTCAACATTTTTGAGGTAGATGACTCAGTCTCACCAATACCTTTTCTCTTCACGGTGATTTTCAGAGCAGGGAATATCTCTTACCGGGAAACAAATTAGAATATCCCTATTTGTCCCTTCCCTATGGAGGGCAGGGATAATACAGCCTTTGAGGCCTTTCATCTTTCCATAACAGATATACCAACTTAGATCTTTTTCAAGAAAATATGAAGGTATTTGTTATTTAATGTCTAAATAATGGTGGATATAAGCTATTGAAGGAGGGATTTTTTGTTTTAGTACTGGGATTTGTGTGGGTTTTTTGTTTTGTTTTGTTTTTGTTTATGTGGTAATGAGGAATCAAACCCAGGGCCTCATGCGTGCTAAGCAAGCATTCTACCACTAAGCCACATTTCTAGCCTAGTTCTGGGATTTGAATTTGTACTTAACATTTTAGCCACATACCTCCAGTCCTTTTTGCTTTTCTTACTTTTTCAAATAGGTTCTCAGTTTTGCCTGGGCCAGCCTGGACCTTGATCCTCCTATTTATGCTTCCTGAGTAGTTGAATGAGAGATTTGTGCACTTTATCCAGCTTTTTTGTTGGTTGAGATTGTTTCTTGAGGACTTTTTCCCTTATGCTGGTTTCAAACCAGTCTTCCCAATCTCAGCTTCTTTAGGATTATATGAACTACTGTAGCTGGGAAGAGAGGTCTGATCCCATGCCACCAAATCTAGAAGGCCAAGAATGGTCCATTTAAAAACACTTATTTTAGTGGCTGACTTCTTTAAAAGTCAATACTTGATGAGGCAAAATTCCATTCCAGCTTTTCAAAGACATGTCACAGAATTTCTGAGGCAAAAAAAGTCTGAAAAAAAAATCACTGATTTCATTATATCAGAGAAATGTTCCTTCAACACTCAATGAGGAAATCCCTGAAACATACCACCATCTTTGGTCAAAAGTATAATTGAGAACTGTGAGAGGTTTTGCAGTTTCTCGTGTGGTGGGTGGATTTAAAATTTTGAAGCTTTGTTTAAGTTGTGGGGGTGGGAGGTGCAGAGAGAATAAATGGAGGAGAAAGGAATTGAAGGAAGAATAAAAGGGATTCAGTCAGTCACAGAGTAGCAAATACCTGGAAACCTCTTACTCCTAAATTCTCCCAAAGCCTATACCTCCCACCCACATTACAGTATCTGTCATCTAGGCTCAAATCCAGAATCTTTTTGATTACTGAGAATTCTTCTGAGTACTTCATGTCTGTCGTCAAAGTTTTATTAAAGAACTTGAAAAAATGGTGTGTGTGTGTAGGTGTGTGCACATGTGCTTGTGTTTTTGTCCACAGCCAGATGTAGACATGTTACCTCACTTTTTAAGAAAACAAACAAATCCCCTATATTTATATGAAACCAACACATGAATAAATACAGTCACAATATGCCAGTATTTCACTTTCTGAGGAATACCACAGTCAAGTCTGAGTTAAGCCTTTACCTAAATTGCAAAGGAGTATGTATCCTAGATGGAAAACTTGAAAAGGGAAAGTAGTAGCTATCACATTAGTAGATAAAATTCTGTAACCTTCTACAGGTTCTCAATTATTTTTGACATTAATTATTTGTAACCAAAAATGGCAAAAACTATGAACCTGCCTTCCAAATTCACCCATTATTTAAGAAAGGTCCAAAATATGCTAGCTCTTTTATATTTCCATTGGCTTCTTATAGTTTATACTTCAGTAATTTCTGTTTTAGAATATTTTATAGATATCATAAACTATAACCTATCTTCCCCCAAATAAATTTCTAATTATACCTTTGTTATTTGGTAATACAAACTATATGAAATAATATGGAGAATAAGAACAAAATTTGCCTCAAATATACTTGGATATTTTTAAACTTGCATGTCTTTGAAGTTCAAACAAAAAAGAAATGTTTAGAATTATCTGAAGAAAGTGGTAATACCTTTATTAGAGTTAATTTGTTCTTTTAATGTATGGAAGTATGTCATATAATTTAACTATACCTGTTTGTGACGTGGTGCCTCCTTTTTTTCAATCCACTGCATGTTTTCAACTTAAGTTTACTTAAAGTTTTCTGAAAAGAAATGTACAAAGACAGCATTCAATTAAGGATTAATCTCTATGGCAACTGAGATGTGGTGACTGAAGGGGGAGGATGTATTCTCCCCTCAGCTTCCTGCCAGCTGTCATAGTCAACCTCTGCTTCCTGAATCTAAGCCAAAATATAGACTGTGACCAACTCTAAGAAACTATATCTGTATTTTTATAAATTGGTACAAGTATCAGACTAGAAAATAAGGCTTAATCCCCTGGATTGGATGACAGACACTTGGCACTCTTGCCAGTGTTTGACAGAGAAATAACGGGTCGCTTTGTAGTAAAACCTGGATTAATAGTAAACCCTTCTTTATGTTATTGCAGTGTGGTGTAAATGAGAGAACTAAGCGAGCTGTCAGCCAGGGGTAGGAGCTGTGTTGGGCTGGGGGGCTGCCTTTTCATAACTAGTGCAGGTTTAAGCACTG